TTGTATGTCATTCAAATCTGTTTGAAATGACGAACAGGAATGAATATGGTTTAGGAGTTGGTATCTCAAACTTTTACAAGTTCTTAAAACACACACAAGAGGGGATGGGGTGACCTTAGAGACTAACCCTATGTTTCATTTGATTTTTTATGTTGTCCCATACATGAATATATATATGGTTTAGGGGTGGGGATCTCGTCCGTTATCAAGTTTTCAAACAGGAGGGGGTGGGGTGACCCCAGTGACTTCCCCTATTTTTCATTTGATTTGTTATATTGCCAAATACATGAGTATATATGGTTTAGGGGTGGGGATCTCATCTGTTTCCAAGTTATCAAACAGGAGGGGGTAGGGTGAACCTTAGGACTCTCCCTATATTTCATTTGATAAGTTCTGCTGTCCCATACATGAATATATATGGTTTAATTAAGAGGTCGGGATCTCGACTGTTTCCAAGTTCTCAAACAGGAGGGGTCGGGTGACTGCAGGGACTCCCCTATATTTCATTTGATTTGTTATATAGTCCCATACATGAGTATATATGGTTTCGGGGTGAGGATCTCGACCGTTTCCAAGTTCTCAAACAGGATGGTTTACAGTGACCATAGGAGCTGCCCCTATATTTCATTTGATTTGTTATATTGTCCCATACATGAATATATATGGTTTAGGGTGGGGATCTCGACCGTTTTCAAATTCTCAAACAGGAAGGGGTAGAGTGGCCCCAAGCACTCAACCTATATTTCATATGATTTGTTATATTGTCCCATACATCAATATATATGGTTAAGGGGTGGATCTCGACCGTTTCCAAGTTCTCAAACAGGAGGGGTGGGGTGACCCCCAAGGACTCCCCCTATATTTCATTTCATTTGTTATATTGTCACATACATGAATATGTATGGTTTATGGGATCATTATTTTTTTGTATGCTCCAATGAACAAATTATGTCTTTAAGAGAAAGATATATACCTACATATTACACACAAAATCCTTCCCAATTGAAACTTACTGGTCTATTATCACACTGTAACGTGCCACTGCTAACAAAAGTGTGCATGTTTCTAAGACATATTGAAAAAATATTTTCATAATACAAAGCATGTTACAATAACTTCATATCCACGTTGCAATTAAGAATTTTGCAAACAAATCAACCAACTATGGTTTATTTCAATTTTATTGTATGATATCACTTATTTATTTGTTGTGTGTCTTGCTTGTAAATGTATAAGTATATATGTAATTGTTAATGTATAATTGTTATCCTCTTGTAGCACCATACGTGTGCTTAAGTTTAAATAAATTGTCTTGTCTTGTCTTGTCTTGGGATCTTGACCGTTTCCAAATTCTCAAACAGGAGGGGTGGGGTGACCGCAGGGACTCCCTCTATATTTCATTTGATTTATTATATTGTCCCATACATGAATATATTTGGTTATGGGGTGGGGATCTCGACCATTTCAAAGTTCAAAAACAGGAGGGTTGGGGTGACCCCAGGGACTCCCCTGTATTTCATTTGATTAGTTATATTGTCCCATACATGAATATATATGGTTTAGGGGTGGGGATCTCGACTGTTTCCAAGTTCTCAAACAGGAGGGGTGGAGTAACCCTAGGGACTTCCCCCTATATTTCATTTGATTAGTTATATAGTCCCATACATGAATATATATGGTTTAGGGGTGGGGATCTCATCCGTTTCAAAGTTATCAAACAGGAGGGGGTAGAGTGACCCAAAGGATTCCACCTATATATCATATGAATTGCTTACATTCAGGTATCATATAATCTAGTTGCACTATTTGCGAAAACAAAGTAAGAAACTTCCAGCTATGTTAACTGACCCTTCAAAATTGAGAAAAAAATTGCAGTAATATGTTTATACTTTAAAAGCATCTTACATGCATTATCAACATTTATCACTGATAAAGAAGATTTATACTGTCACCAGGAACATATATATTGTTAGATATACTGTTCCCAGCTGTCACATTGTATTGGATTTTGACATTAAAATTTGTCAAAAAGTAATTTTGAGTTTCTGTATCAAATATTTTTTGCTTTTTCTTTCTTTTACATATATCTTTTGGTTTCCATTTCTAGTGTTTATATTTATTTACCATGCATAGATGTATTTTGTCACCTGCCTGAAATTTTATTTGTAGTTGATCTCCAAAACCCGGAATTACCCTTATCCGCTTCCGGAATCGGACCCGATATTGTAATTGTCTACACGGCATCCATTGTTTTTCAATGTTGTTTTTGTCAGTCAGATACGATTTTACTCGAATTTACACATTACTTGTAGGCGATTATCTGCATAAAGCTAGCGGTTGAACAAAATGAACATCGCTGTCATGAATAATAAAGATGAAAATACGTTTTGAGATCGTTTATTTAGAGACTTTGGTAAAAAGGTTTGCAAAGTTATTTTTAATTTTCTTTCAAGTGAAAGGTCCGTCGGGCGTAGCTAGTAACCAAGTCGAGAGTCCGATTGCAAAAGTGGAAGGTCGCGGACCTCGGACCACCGCTAATTTGAACCCCTGCCTCCAAATTGAAAAGATACGAAAATTTCGTCTTCTAATTTGAAATTGCCGCCAACAGCATGAACAGTGGAACTTATTAATAGACTACTGACGTAGTTGTAACACGTATTGACGACAAACAATATTCCTACGACTTTTGCCATTTGGGAAATCTAAACTACTTGTCTTTAAAGATTTTCGGCGATTAAATATTTCATACAATTGTTCTTTGACATCTTTGCCAAAAGCACAGGGGATAATAAACTACATAAGGATTCCTAATGTGCTCTACTTCCTATGTGCAACTTCAAAACTTTTGGGTGGTTCGACGATCATTTAAGGTTTTTTCTGGTCATATTTTTGTAATCCAGAATTAAAAGTATGAAAAAACTATTCAATTAGTTATAAATAACATTATATCCAGCTAGATAATAACAATGGCACGTATTTCAGCATTTATTGGGTAGAACACAAATCTAGGGTGCTCGCATAAGGCAGCTTAACTGCCTAAAAACTATTCTTATTCCAACTCTGCCCGCACCTCCATCTGACACCCTCTGACTTCCGCTTTCCTCCATCCGACACTCTCTTCCCGACCCCTCATTCTCACTTTCCTGTACATTACAGTACCCCTGTCCACCCCCTCGATTATTAAATAATGTGGTTTGCTGGTGATTGTAAAAGGAAAAGCGCTCCCGGCCAACAAAATATATTTTATCAACAAAATAAAATATCTAAAATTGCCATGAAGATGGTAAACATTAAAGTGGACATTATTTTAGATAAATATGTTATCCTGAAATATATTGATCAGGTATTTCCTGTCCTGATCGAATATTTAGTTCGTTTCACGAACAAAGGGCTGAGCCTGTAGCTTTTACTATTTATTATACCTTGTTTATTGTTAGCAATTTACCAAAATCGATTGCAACTTTATTACTCTGCACGCTTATCTGAATGGGAGACCTTTACATTACAAATAAATGCAACAAAGACATTGGATAATGTCCTGTTAGTACTCGTATATATTGAGTAAATCCGGGAACAGTATATATATTTATATATGAGAGACATAGGTATTAGTATATAAGCCAGGTTAAAATTAAATAGTAATATCACCAGAAATGCATTTAATAAATTCTAGTATGGTCATCATATTATTACAAAAATAAATATCAGGTGCCTGTTAAGTGTGTTCATACCAATCAATATTCCTATAATTAAGTCCTTCCTATTTATAACCTGGGACATACTTAACGATTCATGTTTATATATAATTATAATAATAAATTATAACTATTAAAACATATGCAATAATTAAAATAATCAACACCCAGCCAAACAAATTGACTTTATATGAGACACTGTATATAGAATGAATAGGCTACTGACAAGTGACAAAAATAGAAATAAAACTCAAAGTTAAACCAGAGACTTATGCTGACCATTGTTACAGTTGTCAATCTCTGTGTATATATATATATGTCTCTGGTTAAACACATTTTCCAATTTGAACCTTTAACTTGATTGCATTCATTTCCGTATTTTCCAATTTGAACCTTTAATTTATTTGCATTTATTTCCGTATTTTCTAATTTGAACCTTTAACTTAATAAACCACTTCCATTCATAAATATTTGCAGTTGTGTATTGCAAAGGTACCACGTGTATTCATCGTGTACATTGGTCGTATTAAAATAGATTTTTATTATTGACCAATGAAAAAATTCGATATTTAATTCATCAGAAAAGCCATGCTTAAAAGCGTTTCGTATTTGTATTTCGATCTTTCCCCTTAATTTGAAACCTGCAACACTGATAAAAGAATCCAAGAAAAAAAATGTAGACTAATCATCTAATCCAGCGACATTTTATATTATAAGTCTCAGTCTACTCCATAGTTCTATACTATCTGTTTCTGTCTTCAGGTAACTATATTTTCAAATACATCGTAAATAAGATGGTTATTTTTAACAGATTCTGATTTGCATTGATTATATATATCTGTTCTACATTTTAACGATGTATTTATAACCGTCGCTCACGCTTCACTGGTTCTATTGATGACTCAATACACATCAGTTTTATCGGACAAACAGCTAATTCCCGTCGACACGATAAATCATGTGTATTAACTGAAACACTTTTAAAAATACTATAGCTAATGTTAAATAATACACACGTCGTTCGCGCAAGTTATTAAAGGGACATCGTTATCTAAGAGTATGAGAGGGATTACGGCAAACATCTAAAGCGCCGGACAAAAGTCTAAAAATACAGCAAACGTCTAAAGTCAGAGGAGGACGTCTATTTCTGTGTCAAACATCTATAATTACGAATTATGGTTATTTATTAACCATAATCTGGCGTTCTTGCCATTAATCGGGCACTATAACCATATGGCTTTCCTAGTGTATATAGCCCCGACCCAAGTCAGTGGGCCATTATAAAAAATAACCTGATGATTTTACCTATAGATATGAACATCTCTGGTCTGACCAATCCTATGACATCGATCCTGAGCTTGAGCATCCATAGTTGGGTTCCAGTCACTATCATAAAATATCACAGTATCAGCACCTGTCAAATTCACACCAATACCACCTGATCGTGTGGATAAAATAAACACAAATATCCTCCTATCCGCATTGAATCTGTCCATTAGGAATTGTCTTTGTTCAACCTTAGTTGTTCCGTCAAGACGTAGATATATATGACCATGGTAGTTTAGGAATGCCTCTAAAATGTTCAACATTTTTGTCATCTGTGTAAATATTAACACTCTATGTCCTTCTGTTTTAAGTCTATGTAATAAAATATCCAGCACTTGAAGTTTTCCTGAAATAATGAAAAATAAATCAAAACTGCTCCTAAAACATTCATTATCTATGTTTTATTCTTATCAAAGTTAAATAATACAGGTTCAATGATATAGTATTGTATTATATACTGTTTGATAAATTTGTAAACTTTAATACAGCAAGATAAAACTGACTTTCAAAAACTTGATCTCTTTTCAACAAAAGAGCAAAAACAATTGTTAGTCATCAACTTTAAGACTTGGGACCATTTTCACATGTGCTCTGCGTCTCTCTTCACGTATATTTTTTTTTATAGAAAAACTCACAACCAAATTTAATAATAAATTTAATTTGTTTTTAACATAGCTGGTTTCGGAATTTGGTCCTCATTGCTCTTCAACTTTGTATTATATTTGGCCTTTTAAACTTTTTTTCGATTCAAGCATCACTGATGAGTCTTTTGTAATCTTTTTGTCATCTGGTGAACCAAAATTTAAATCCTGGTATCCATCACAAGTTTATTTATCAACATATCCCTTTTCCATGATAAAACCTGAACAAAAGAATGAATGTGACATTTAGTGTTGTTTCTTATTTTTAATAATGATTTTGTACTTTTCATATTTCAAATTACCATTTGAGATTTCTAGATGTGACATAAATTTCCAGTGTTTCTGTATTTGAATAGGAATGTGACAAGAGTCAGATCACCTACTTTTTGTGTGTAGTAGACTTACCACAATCATACTGTATCAAGCGTTTTTCTGGGAACTGTACCAGAAGTCGGGTTGATATAGGATGAAGACAAGTTGCTTTAGGAGACAGTTCACTCTGCAGTAATGTCTCCCGTCTCCTCTCTTCCACCAGATGTTGAGGAGGAGGATGGGACACATGCATCTGAATCCTTGGAGCTGTCACAGGAGGGGTGATAAATGTGTACCTACAAAAATAATTTACCAGATAAATACAGAAACCAGGCTTTGTGTAGACATATTTTTCTAATTTAATATAATATTCTTAACCAACTGCAATTATTTTACTTATTTCTTCCAACTATCCATAATAAATGTCCAGACAGTTATATGTTCTTATTATTTATATTTGTAGCTTGTAGGCATTTTATTATTATTACATCCATGTAATATAAACATGAAAGTAGGAGTTAATGCCCTTTATATAGCATAACCAGATATGAAGAACACTACATTCAATGTCATCACAGTACATGGCATGCTTTTGTATACCTATAAAATTGTAACTCACCTCTACACCTAAATACTTCCATGACTGCACTACCTTTTATCAGTTTCTCTTGTGAATTTTTCTATATTTTTCATGTTGGGGCCTTTCATAGCCGACTATATGGTATGGGTTTTCTCATTGTTAAAGACTGTACAATGACCTATAATTGCTTATATCCACATCATTTGAACTCATACAGTTGTCTCATTGGCAATCATACTGCTACTTCTTATTTCCATATTAAGGTCTAGTTATTTCATTTTAAATGTCTATATGTATGGCAAGATTATATTTACACGTGTACACATCCAGGAAAATACACTAAAATAACTTCCGTGTACATAACAGCTGCCTTAAATAAATCCAACTTATCTGGTCTGTATGCGATTTTCATCTTGTAAATGCTTGCCTTTCTTGGGAAGATGTTTAATTTTAAAAGTCTGCAGTTTACCCAATTGAATTTCTTATTCACTGAATGTCCTGATACTAGTGAAAGGTCTTTTTGTTGCAACTGATTTCATTTAATAATTGATAAATGTAAAATTGTACAGTAATAAATAAAGTGTACAAACCTTAAAAGGATATCCTCCATTTTGTGTAGGAATTGTTCTGGAGTATTTACAAGATTTGAAAGCACTTTGGTTTGTTTCCAGTAATAACTGGGATGATTAACATTAGGCCAGGTATGGACATTACGACAGTATACCATGCCTAAACCTTTCCATGTATTGTCTTTAACACAAGTCTTATTCATATCTCGGAACACGTCAACTGTGTGACACAAGTCTTGTCCATAAACAGGCACACGTGAACAATGTTTCTCATTTGTATTAGCAATAAAATCTAACTTTTGTTCTCTTTCTCTCATTTTCTTTTCTTCTAATGAATTCTGAAAAGGAGTAAGATCAGATATTATTCTGTATCATAGAGTGAGATCTGAAGATATCTTACTTCAATGCTATCAAGTTTACCTACCAAATTATCACAAGTTTTATCCTGCCATCTTTGCTGTCAGTAGATTTAGAAATTTAGTGATTCTTCCCTCTTATATTCATTGAGTTTTGAAATAAAGGCTTTTCAGAGAAAACATTTAAGAGGGGGTTGTACAACCCTTTTGTTATATACCCAATAACAACAAAAATATTTTCATTTGTTACCAGAATTTTATTTACTTCTATCCCTATTACACACAGCAAATAATATCATGTGTTGTCAACCCTCCAGAGGCATACATGTTTTCCTTCAGTAAACCAAACTTTGTTTTACCTCTTTTATAAAGTATCATACTATTAAAGAAGCTGTGGAGTGTAACAGATAAGTTTCCTGTAACCAATCTTTTCAGACCAACAACAAATACAAATTCATTGCTGGCTTCTATGATGGTCTTTCATATTGGCAGGCTTATGGAATTCAGAAACCACAGTGTGCTTCTGAACAACGATGACTGCCTTGGTACCCTATGGCTCTACGAAAAGCCAGTATTCATGTTGGTCAGATAAGACTTTATTGTTAACCATGGATTTTTTTTATCATTCCTTAGGATGTAGTAAAACGACCCCTTTTCCAAGAGAATTAACTTCAAATCATGACTCAATTACTGAAATTATCTCAACATATTCCATCAAATTTTTATTCCTAAATACACTAAATTTTGCATTTAAGATTCCAAAATTGACATTTAAAGAAACATTCCCAAAACAACATGTAAACAGTAATTCTAATGGATGAAGAATACAAAAAAACTTCTTATAAACATTTTCATCATATCAATGAAGTGGAATTAAAGTCTAATATCATTGTAAGTATGCTTTATCACCTTGCACTTTCATGACTTGACTGTGATTTTCTACATCAGTTTGTTGAATTTCTGACCAGTAGAACAGTTTGGTTTGATAAAACAAATTTCAATGTTGTCAGAATTTTGAATAAACTGAAAACAGGTGGAGAGCAACACTTAGTCTTGTCACAGTTAAACTTCTATCAACATTATGGTGAATTAAAAATAATGAACTAGCTTTTCCTCTGCATGTACATGTGCAACATTATATCCCTCGTTATAGTTTCTTGGATACTATCCATCTGTAAGAAAGTCCTTATCTTACCACTTCTGATGGCGTGTTGGTGGTCTAATGTACTGTCCATTGTATTTTGTCCTTCTTATGTATTATGACAAAATTGATTTGATGTAATTCTATAAGACAGTTTCAGAGAAAGACTACTTTTGCTAGTACCTCTGTTAACATCCTTGAATAAAGTTTTATCTCTACCATCATTATCAAAGAACATGTGTAGGGTAACAGAGATTACCATCATTATCAAAGAACATGTGTAGGGTAATAGAGATTACCATCATTATCAAAGAACATGTGTAGGGTAACAGAGATTACCATCATTATCAAAGAACATGTGTAGGGTAACAGAGATTACCATCATTATCAAAGAACATGTGTAGGGTAACAGAGATTACCATCATTATCAAAGAACATGTGTAGGGTAACAGAGATTACTGTAGTCAATTACCATCATTATCAAAGAACATGTGTAGGGCAACAGATTATTGTAGCCAATTACCATCATTATCAAAGAACATGTGTAGGGTAACAGATTACTGTAGCCAATTACCATCATTATCAAAGAACATGTGTAGGGTAACAGAGATTACTGTAGCCAATTACCATCATTATCAAAGAACATGTGTAGGGTAACAGTTTACTGTAGCCAATTACCATCATTATCAAAGAACATGTGTAGGGTAACAGATTTCTGTAGCCAATTACCATCATTATCAAAGAACATGTGTAGGGTAACAGATTACTGTAGCCAATTACCATCATTATCAAAGAACATGTGTGGGTAACAGAGATTACTGTAGCCAATTACCATCATTATTAAAGAACATGTGTAGGGTAACAGATTACTGTAGCCAATTACCATCATTATTTAAGAACATGTGTAGGGTAACAGATTACTGTAGCCAATTACCATCATTATCAAAGAACATGTGTAGGGTAACAGATTACTGTAGCCAATCTTCGACCAACAACAAATACAAATTCATTGCTGGCTTCTATGATGGTCTTTGATATTGGCAGGCTTATGGAATTCAGAAACCACAGTGTGCTTCTGAACAACGATGACTGCCTTATACAGGTTAACCATTATTTCATGTTGGGCATAGCCATGGATTTTTTTTGTTATTCCTCAGTCTAGTAAAAGGAAAATATCTCAATGAGAATTAATTAAAAAAATATCAACTTAATCCATTAATTTTAATTCCCAAATGCCCTAATTTTGGCATTATAGCTTCCCAAAACACCATGTAAACATTATTTTTATGGGGTTAAAATGGAACAATTAACTATTCAAGTAATTTGTTTCCTCCTTTTTCTCTGATGTTTTGAAGTATGACAACATTTGTGGCTTGTCTTTCAACAGGCCACCTACATGTATATGTATACAAAAATTAATAAATTGAACCTGAGTATTTATATTATGATGAATTTTCAAAAAGAACTAGCCTTTCCTCTTCATGTTAATATTTTAAATATTCCAGATTGTTTTCCTTTCTCTTTTCACAAAACAACAAGACAATCAACAAAATGTGACCAATTTACCCACCAATAGAGAATACAAACATTACCAGTTTCAACATTCTATGGCAGAGTTTGATATCTAAAAGTTAAATCTAAAAGTTAAAATGTAAAGCATCTAATTCAAAATAAACTGCTCACAATATAATATAACTTACACAATAGAACTCGGATTTCTTGATCTCTTTTCTGACCTTTTTCTTCACTGATTTGTTTTGTAAAGGTGCTCCAGGTAATTTTACACTCCCTGATAAATCTGTCACATTTATTATAGAGGATGATACTGAAAATAAAAAACAAGTTCTTAAATGGCAAACGTGAAAATTGCAGGCAACAAGTAACCCCCCACTTGTTTTTCGACCTCAATTAAAAATCATATGATGAGAGTAAGTTTCAATTTTCAAGCCTTTGGTTTAACCATGCCAGGGATTATATTCACAGTACTATTCATAAGCTGTCCCAAGCTAAGGTAACCAAGTATCTCTGATAAAGCAAGTACTCGGTGCATAAAGCCAGGATTTATTGTAGGATATCACTAGCACCAAAGTGGCAATAATCTACACATCTGGTGACTCTTGACTCCATTTTTTTTTTAATATTTGTAATCATTCCAATTTAACTTCTGCAATCCACAAATCATTATTAAATGTTCTACTAAAACAGGTTTGTCATGTAGTTCATGCTGTATTGGCATTAATAATATGGTCTGAATAAAAAATAGCCAGACTCTTGCACAGATGATAAGTCACTAACCTTGTGATTCAGAAGTTAGAGGACTGACTCTCATTACTGGCTTCTGATTAGCCATGGTAGATAAAGGTAGCTGTACAGATGATATACACTAACCTTGTGATTCAGAAGTTAGAGGACTGACTCTCATTACTGGCTTCTGATTAGCCATGGTAGATAAAGGTAGCTGTACAGATGATAGTCACTAACCTTGTGATTCAGAAGTTAGAGGACTGACTCTCATTACTGGCTTCTGATTAGCCATGGTAGATAAAGGTAGCTGTACAGATGATATACACTAACCTTGTGATTCAGAAGTTAGAGGACTGACTCTCATTACTGGCTTCTGATTAGCCATGGTAGATAATGGTAGCTGTACAGATGATATACACTAACCTTGTGATTCAGAAGTTAGAGGACTGACTCTCATTACTGGCTTCTGATTAGCCATGGTAGATAAAGGTAGCTGTACAGATGATATACACTAACCTTGTGATTCAGAAGTTAGAGGACTGACTCTCATTACTGGCTTCTGATTAGCCATGGTAGATAAAGGTAGCTGTACAGATGATATACACTAACCTTGTGATTCAGAAGTTAGAGGACTGACTCTCATTACTGGCTTCTGATTAGCCATGGTAGATAAAGGTAGCTGTACAGATGATAGTCACTAACCTTGTGATTCAGAAGTTAGAGGACTGACTCTCATTACTGGCTTCTGATTAGCCATGGTAGATAAAGGTAGCTGTACAGATGATAGTCACTAACCTTGTGATTCAGAAGTTAGAGGACTGACTCTCATTACTGGCTTCTGATTAGCCATGGTAGATAAAGGTAGCTGTACAGATGATATACACTAACCTTGTGATTCAGAAGTTAGAGGACTGACTCTCATTACTGGCTTCTGATTAGCCATGGTAGATAATGGTAGCTGTACAGATGATATACACTAACCTTGTGATTCAGAAGTTAGAGGACTGACTCTCATTACTGGCTTCTGATTAGCCATGGTAGATAAAGGTAGCTGTACAGATGATATACACTAACCTTGTGATTCAGAAGTTAGAGGACTGACTCTCATTACTGGCTTCTGATTAGCCATGGTAGATAATGGTAGCTGTACAGATGATATACACTAACCTTGTGATTCAGAAGTTAGAGGACTGACTCTCATTACTGGCTTCTGATTAGCCATGGTAGATAATGGTAGCTGTACAGATGATATACACTAACCTTGTGATTCAGAAGTTAGAGGACTGACTCTCATTACTGGCTTCTGATTAGCCATGGTAGATAATGGTAGCTGTACAGATGATCTGACTGTTGTTGCCATTGTAGTAGCTGTTACAGAGGAACTTGCTGTAGTGGTTATGGTCTGATGCCCATTTACTACTATAAAATTACAATTTAATGTGTCAGAAAGAACAAGGAAACTAAAATAATTCAACTGCAGTTCAATTGTGATTGCAATCAGATATAAACATGATAACAGTAATCAGGCTGTTAATTGTTTAACATTTGTTATGTCAGGGCCTTTTATAATTTGCTATACTGTATGGGTTTTGTTGAAGGCTATTCAGCGACCTGTTGCTTACTTTCACTTTGTTTGGTCTCTAGTAGATAATTGTCTCTTTGAAAATCATACCACATCTTCTTATATTTATATTAGGTATTAAATATATTATTGAATAGCTAACACATTCAAATTAAAATATGCCTTGCAGCTTGTAGTATGCAACCTTAAGTAGTTTCAAGCAATTTTTACGAGAAAATCATATAAACAATTAAACAGTACTGAACAGATTAATACAAGACAAAACCTTAATAAAAGATTATATTTTCAACTTTTGTTAGGAAAATATAAATAACCTAATTTTGAATAGATTGTTTCTTCAACATTTATCATAGTTGTTGATCTTTTCAAAAATAAATACATTTATCATAGTTGTTGATCTTTTCGAAAATAAATACATTTATCATAGTTGTTGATCTTTTCAAAAATAATATGTATTTAACACAACTCTCATTCCTGTGTGTTTCCAATGGCAGTGGTTTCACACCAAGTCTTAATTTCCAAAAAAGGCTTTCTATAATGTGCCAAAACTCTTTTAAAGTAAAATGAAGAAGAAAAAAATGTTCATTCTTTTTTAAAACCTAAAATATAACCTATTTTACCTGCAGAAGCTGTAGTTGCTACTGAACTGACTGCAGATGTAGCGATCATCTGTTGTCCCAATGAAGTCTGAACTATCTGTATAAACCCAGCTAAAATAGAAATCAACATATTCTATATATCTAACATTAACATCACAAAATATACTTGAATACTTATCAATGTTGGATAATTGAATGTTCCCATCATCTATCATATGGATCCACTCTACTATTCATTAACTGTCCCAAGCTAAGGTAACCAAGTATCTCTGATAACGCAAGTACTCGGTGCATAAAGCCAGGATTTATTGTAGGAAATCACTAGCACCAAAGTGGCAACAATCTACACATCTGGTGACTCTTGACTCCATAATTAGAGATTTATACTACTTTGCTTTTTTTACACTTGTATATTCTTTTTATTTCCTATACAAGCTTAAGACAAGGGGAACAAAAACAAGACTATTCTATTTCATAATAAACACAAAATTATTTCATTCCAAATTGTAAGTCATATTAAAACAATGCCATTACAGCTCTTTTCATAATGCTAACAAGACAAAGGTTTGTTTGACTTGCTTGCTTTGTTTGAATAAATGTTTGCTCAAGCATTGTAATTAAGATTGACATCTGCAAACAATATAAGTAGGCGGAATTAATCCTGTTTATAGGTAAATTTGATTATTTGATAATGTCCAATCAAATTTAAATATAATGTGTAACAGTTTAAATCTGCCTTTTTATGTTGTTTTCAGATGTCAATCTTAATTACAATGCCTGAGCAAACATTGATACAAACAAAGCAAGCAAGCCCAACAAACCTTTGTCTTGCTAGCATTATGAAAAGAGCTGTAAACTACAATGATTTACTGCCACTTTCAGGATTCATTCAATACTCATATGGATAGATGATGAAGATTGATTGGTGTTAAATGTCCAGTATCAAATTTAACACCCGTATGAACTGGGCATTGTACTAGGGAGACTTGCTAAGTAAGATTTCTAATGTGCAAGTTCACTAGGGTAACAGGACACATTCCGACTGGGAAGAGCAGTCTTTGCTCTTACTCCTAAATGCTACCTGCTTTAAGGAGAAGCAGTAAGAACCAATTTCAAGTCTTAGCTTTGAACCGACCAGGGATTTTATTCATACTACTATTCATAAGCTGTCCCAAGCTAAGGTAACCAAGTATCTCTGATAAAGCAAGTACTCAGTGCATAAAGCCAGGATTTAATGTAGGAAATCACTAGCACCTAAGTGGCAATAATCTACACATCTGGTGACTCTAGACTCCATAATTTTATGGTAAATTCCATAATTAGAAACTTGTATCAAATAGTATGTTGGACTTCAAAGACTTTGCTTTCACATTTTATATTCTTTTTAACTTTTTTCAAGACCAGGCATGTAAATTTCTATCTATTTGATCAATATCAAGACTAGACCCTTTAAAGCAAATACCAAATAATTTCAATCCATATTACACAAATAAAACAATTAGAAGTCAAATTTAAAACAATTATGACATTAAAACTACAATGATTTTCTGCACTTTCGGGTTTCATTCATAACTCATAACGAAGTAAGATGGGATGATGGATTAATGTTAAATGTCGTGTGGAAAAATACAAGCAAATAAACTGGGCTTTGTACTAGACAGACACTAAGCCAGATTTTTAACATGCTAGTTCACTAGGGTAACCACTATGCAGAAAGTCCTACCTGGACACATTCCGACTCTTGTGAAGACCAGTCTTTGCTCTTTCTCCTTAATGCTGCATGCTTAAAGGAGAAGCAGCAAGAACCAATTTTTAAGTACTAGGTTTGACCTGACCAGGGATTTTATTCATACTACTATTCATAAGCTGTCCCAAGCTAAGGTAACCAAGTATCTCTGATAAAGCAAGTACTCGGTGCATAAAGCCAGGATTTAATGTAGGAAATCACTAGCACCAAAGTGGCAATAATCTACACATCTGGTGACTCTTTGACTCCATAATTTTATATTAAATTCCATAATTAGAAACTTATATCAAATAGTATGTTGGACTTAAAGACTTTGCTTTCACATTATATATTCTTTTTAATTTCTTCTCAAGATAAGGCATGTGAGTTTTTTTTTTTGACAGGATCAAGAGTTAGACTAGACCTTTATAGTAAACCAAATAATTGCATTCCAAATTACACAAGTAAAACAATTACAAGTCAAAACAAAACAACTATGACAATAAAACTGCAATGATTTTCTGCCATTTTCAAGATTCATTCATTAAAAATGGGATGGATTGGTAATGTCCAGTGGCAATTTTTACATGTATATTACTTAGATTTGTACTAGACAGACAGGCTTAGCCAGATTTTTAACATGAGGATACTGGATTGGTGTTAAATGTCTAGTGGAGACTACAACATGCATATGAACTGGGTTTTGTACTGGATTGACACATAAAGTCAGAACTTCAACATGATAGTTAACTAGGGTAAAATGACATGTCAGCCAACCTAGACACTTTCCTAATCTTAGAAGACTAGCTTTTGCTCTTAATCCTCAATGTTGCAAGTAAAACACAAAAGCAGCAAGAACCAATTTTCAAGTCTTTCTGGTCAGGAATTTTATTCAAACATTATCTGTCCCAAGCTAAGGTAACCAAGTATCTCTGATATAGCAAGTACTCGGTGCATAAAGCCAGGATTTATTGTAGGATATCACTAGCACCTAAGTGGCAATAATCTACACATCTGGTGACTCTTGACTCCATAATTTTTATGGTAACTTCCCTAATTAGAGATTTGCATCGACAAGTATGGTCAACTTTACTTAAATACATTTTATATTGTTTTTACAGCAAATTAAAGTTTTATCTTTTTGTACATCAGACATGTCAGACTTAACTGTTCCTGTTTTATTTAGGATATTCTACTCTACTCTCACAATTCTCTTGTAATTATTTAGCAAATGCATTTATATCATTGAAATTTGTTAAGTGAAACCATTAAGTGCTGGCCAACAACCTATTTTGATTGTTAAATGATATATTTACCAGGTAACTGAGACAACTGTCCAGCAGGTATCATCAGTCTAGCTCCTTGGTCAGTCTGCTGTATCTGTACTGTGATTGGCTGAGTGGAAACAGGTGTCTGTCCAGCTTAAAAAACAACAACAACAAAAAACATTTTACTATTAACTCTTGACATCATTAATCAGATTTTTAAAAATTTGTCCTTTAATGTTCACAATATTGAAATGTTATACCAAATAAAATGATCTGAGATAAGATTCTATCATACAAACAAAATTGTACATCTCTATCTGTAAAGTATTATTATAAATTCAGTGGGCATGTATATCATTTTTTCCAAGCGAGATAATTTGTGATTCTTACCAGACTGAGGACCCACTTTTGTCTGTAGTTTGTTCGTCTGTACCACACTTGTGACTGGCATACTGGATGCCACAGTGACCATCCCTGGTGTAGATACTGTAGTTACAGTTGGTGTCATCACCGGAACAGAGGAGGCAGGGTACCCTAAAATAGAAAGTACAAGATCATTGAATAAAATGCTTCGCTGGGCGCAGCTTGATACGACCGCAGAGGTCGAACCCTGAACAGTTGGGGCAAGTATGGACACAACATTCAAGCTTGATACAGCTCTGAATTTGGATTGTGATTAAATATTTGACACAGCATAGGTTTCTGACACAGAAAGAATGTGGTCTTAGAACTTCAATTTTTTTAATTTACCTATTATGGTCCAATGTCCAAAATCAAAATACATGGTTAGATTCAGCATATCAAAGAACCCCATATATTCAATTTTTGTTGAAATCAAACAAAGTTTAATTTTGGACCCCAACTTGGACAAACTTGAAAACTGGTCCCATAATCAAAAATCTAAACATGTGTTAGATTCAGCATATCAAAGTACCCGAAGAATTCAATTTTTGTTAAAATCAAACTAAGTTTAATTTTGGACCCTTTGGACCTTAATGTAGACAAATTTAAAAAACGGGACCCTAAATTAAAAATCTAAAAACACAGTTAGATTTGGCATATCAAAGAACCCCAATAATTCAATTTTTGATGAAATCAAACAAAGTTTAATTTTGGACCCTTTTGACCTCAATATGAACCAATCTGATAGCGGGCCCACAAATAAAAAATCTAAATACATGGTAAGATTCAGCATATCAAAGAACCCCATATATTCAATTTTTGTTGAAATCAAACAAAGTTTAATTTTGGACCCCAATTTGGACCATCTTGAAAACTGGGCCAAAAATCTAAAATCTAAATACATGTTTAGATTCAGCATATCAAAGAACCCCATATATTCAATTTTTGTTGAAATCAAACAAAGTTTAATTTTGGACCCCAACTTGGACCAACTTGAAAACTGGTCCCATAATCAAAAATCTAAACACATGTTTAGATTCAGCATATCAAAGAACCCCAAAAATTCAATTTTTGTTAAAATCAAACTAAGTTTAATTTTGGACCCTTTGGACCTTAATGTAGAGCAATTTAAAAAACAGGACCCAAAATTAAAAATCTAAATACACGGTTAGATTTGGCATATCAAAGAACCCCAATAATTCAATTTTTGATGAAATCAAACAAAGTTTAATTTTGGACCCTTTTGACCTCAATATGAACCAATTTGATAGCGGGCCCACAAATAAAAAATCTAAATACATGGTAAGATTCAGCATATCAAAGAACCCCATATATTCAATTTTTGTTGAAATCAAACAAAGTTTAATTTTGGACCCCAATTTGGACCAACTTGAAAACTGGGCCAAAAATCTAAAATCTAAATACATGTTTAGATTCAGCATATCAAAGAACCCCATATATTCAATTTTTGTTGAAATCAAACAAAGTTTAATTTTGGACCCCAACTTGGACCAACTTGAAAACTGGGCCCATAATCAAAAATCTAAACACATGTTTAGATTCAGCATATCAAAGAACCCTAAGAATTCAATTTTTGTTAAAATCAAACTAAGTTTAATTTTGGACCCTTTAGACCTTAATGTAGACAAATTTAAAAAACGGGACCCAAAATTAAAAATCTAAATACACGGTTAGATTCGGCATATCAAAGAACCCCAATAATTCAATTTTTGATGAAATCAAACAAAGTTTAATTTTGGACCCTTTGGACCTCAATGTGGACCAATTTAAAAACGGGGCCCAAAATCCAAAAACTTAATACACGGTTAGATTCAGCATATTAAAGAACCCCAAGAATTCAAGAATAAAACCCCATTGAAATTGATCAAGAAATAAGCAATTTATACGAAGTATCTTCTTTTGCACAATACTGTGCAATTGAATATTTCTTGCTATTGCGCAATACTGTACAATTGACAATTTCTTGCTATTGCGCAATATTGTGCTATTGGATATTTCTTGCTATTGCGCAATACTGTTAAATTGAAGATTTCTTGCTATTGCGCAATACTGTGCAATTGAAGATTTCTTGCTATTGTGCAATACTGTGCAATTGAAAATTTCTTGCTATTTCACAATACTTATTATATAATAATTTACACATCCTGTTTGGTGTGTATCTCCTACCATATCATTATTATTTGCTTTTAAATATAAATCAGAAATAACCAACTTAAAATGGAAAATTTTAAAAGAAAAAAAAAAGGAAAAAAAGAAAAAAAAAAAAAAAAAAAATCCCCCCCCCCAAATTTTTTGAACCCCCTTATGATTCATCACCCCCAAACTCAATCCCAGCCTTCCCTTTGTGGTATGGTACCTTGCAGTACAATTTCAGAGAGATCCATACACTTGAACACAAGTTATTGTCTGTAAACTAGAAAAATGCTTATTTTTGGCCCCTTTTTGGCCCCCAATTCCCAAACGTTTCGGGCAATTACCCCCAAACTCAATTCCAGCTTTCCCTTTGTGATATGGAACCTTGTAGTACAATTTCAGAAATATCCAAACACTTACACACAAGTTATTGTCATGAAACTAGAAAAATTCGTAAGGGTTCCGCGGAACCCAGTGTCTCGCCTACTTTTGCTGTTAATCACAGGCTCAACAAAATTGAGGAAAAAAATTAATAAAAATATTCCTCTCTATACTATCTTTTGATTGTAAGTAGCTTCTGTCCAAGTTTGGTAAAAATCCAGGATAGTTTATGAATCTAATAAATGTTTTAAAAACTTAAACTGCAGACTGTTATGTAATGTTAACTGGAAGAAAAACTAATTCCATTTATAAGTAAAATACGGAAAAAATGGAACAAAATTTTAACAAAATTTCCTTTTAGATACTAGCTCTTAATCATAAACAAGCTTCTGTCCAAGTTTGGTACAAATCCAGGATAGTTTAAGAAAGTTGTTAAAATTTTAAAAACTTTAACCACAGAGTGAATGTAATGTTAACTGGCAGAAAAACTAAGTCCATTTATAAGTAAAATACGGGAATTGGTTATTTTTTTTTTTTAAATTTACTTCTGGATACTATCTTATGATCATAAACAAGCTTCTTTCCAAGTTTGGTACAAATCCAGGATAGTTTAAGAAAGTTATTAAAATTTCAAAAACTTTAACCACAGAGTGAATGTAATGTTTCCTGGCAGAAAAACTAAGTCCATTTATAAGTAAAATACGGAAAAAATGGAATTTTTTTTTTACAAAATTTACTTTTGAATATTATCTTATGATCATAAACAAGCTTCTGTCCAAGTTTGGTAGAAATCCAGAATAGTTTAAGAAAGTTATTAAAATTTCAAAAACTTTAACCACAGAGTGAATATTTGTGGACGCCGCCGACGACAACGACGACGACGACGACGACGACGCCGACGGAATGTAGGATCGCTTTGTCTCGCTTTTTCGACAAAAGTCGAAGGCTCGACAAAAATGCTTGTTTTTTGCCCCTTTTTTGGCCCCTAATTCCTAAAATTTTGAGGCAATTACCCCCAAAATCAATTACAGCCTTCCCTTTGTGATATGGAACCTTGTGGTACAATGTCAGAGAGATCCATACACTTACACACAAGTTATTGTCTGAAAGTTACAAAAATGCTTATTTTTGGCCCCTTTTTGGCCCCTAATTCCTTAACCTTTGGTACCATAACCCCCAAAATCAATCCCAACCTTCCTTTTGTGGTATTGAACCTTATGGTGAAATTTCATGGAGATCCATTCACTTAAACTAAAGTTAGAGTGCGAAAACCAATGTGTCTTCGGACGACGCCGGACGACGACGACGACGACAACGTCATACCAATATACGACCAAAAAATTTTTAATTTTTGCGGTCGTATAAAAACAAGATGAAAACATCTGAAACTAAGTAATGGATTGAAAGTTTGAACTGTTCTAGTGTTTTTATTCATGAACATTATATACTATGCCATGATGTGGTATGTTAACTAGATTTAATGTACGAGATGGCTCATACCACAGCAGTACTATTAACTGTGTGTTAATACTTACACCTCGTAAGAATTATCCATCATAGTGCAACCTGAATGGGTTAAATACATTCATTCAGCTAAATACATTTATGATGTACTTTATAATAATGTAAGTCTCTTCTAAACCATTTGCAAAAGTTGTAGAGTTATTACTGCAATGGACTTTTTTTCCCCAATTTGTCAATGGACGAAAGGTTTGAGAAGTCACAGTCATGTAAGGCATGAAGGTTGAGAACGAGTTAAGAATGCTGTTGTATAAAGTACAGTTAATCATGAAGTGGAACTCATCTACTTCACCACTGTCAAACATTTTCTTTGTTCTACAAGAAATTCTTCAATGCATTCTCCATAAGGCAGGTCATTGATTATTGGAGAGAATTTTAAGTTATTTATCCACTTGGATTGTGTTTTTACATGTTAGTATGTTCTAGTATATTTCAAACACTGTCAATCCAAGACAGATTATGACGTTCTATCAGTCTTTCAAATTGTCTAAGACACGAGGAAATGAAAAGCTGAACGTGTTTTCCGGTTGTCAATATAGACTTTAGTCCACAAGATGCCAGAAGTGTTCTTCCATTATTGAATCAGGTATTACAGTATCATATAGAAATATCTTAGTCCCAGGGAAATACCTCATGGTACTATCCTATTTCTTCTTTTATGGGTGATATGAGTGTAATAATGACAAGTTTGAACTGTTCTAGAGTTTTTATTCATGAACATTACATACTGTCATGATGTGGTATGTTACTAGATTTCATGTACGAAATGGCTCATACCACAGCAGTACTATTAACTGTGTGTTAATACTTACACCTCGTTGGATACAAGAAGAATTACATATCTTAGTACAACCTAAATAGGTTAAACACAAAATAGTCATTCAGCTAAATAGGCTTATTATGCACTTTCTAATAATGTTAAGTCTATTTTGAAACTATGAAAATTAAACAAAACACAATGTTTTTTATAACAACCTTGACTACCCATGACGACCTTTCATGGTCAGTGTTGAACAAAACACATTTATAAAATGAGGAAAAAAGATGTATTTTGAAGAGCTTTGCACAATTACATCGTTGATTGGATTTTCAAAATTGAAGTAAAAAAACCTTGCAAAAGTTTTATGGTTATTACTATAAGGTTTTTTTTTATTAGTCCATGGAAGAAAGGTTTGAGAAATCACATTCATCATGTTCATGTAAGGCTTAAAGGTTGTGAATGAGCTTATTACCAATTTTGTAGTATAAAGTGCAGTTACAGTACATGGACTTAAGTGTGTACATGAGAATGATCTTTGATTATTAGACTTTTTTACTAATGAACTATTCTATAGTCCATAAGATGACAGTAGTGTTTTTGCCTCATTGAACCAGGTATTACGTTATCTGATTGAAATCTCTTGGTCCCAGGGAAATACCTCATGGAACCATCCAATTTCTCTTTTTATGAGTGAAATGGGTGTAGCAATGGTTTGAAAGTTTGAAGTGTTCTAGTGTTTTTATTCATGAACATTACATACTATGCCATGATGTGGTATGTTAACTAGATTTGATGTACGAGATGGCTCATACCACAGCAGTACTATTAACTGTGTGTTAATACTTACATCTCGTAAGATTCAATACAAAAGCATATAAAAGGGTTATCAATCCACTTTTTGGTTCAGAACAGTTTCAGTGATTACTTATTACGGTTGGATGTGATTTTACTACTTTAAAACCTCTACAGAGATAATATTAACTTACCACCATTGGACATTACAGTACTGGTAATTGCTGGTGAAGACCTTCCACACTGAAATAAAAACAACACAATTAAAAGAAGAAACAGTTCAGTATTTTTAAAATCTTTTGTAAGTTAAATTATCCATATATATATATATATATATATATGTATGTGAATTGAATGAGATGAGGAGTATACTTCAATGAGACAGCAGCCTATAGCAGGTCATCATATAGTCTCCAAAAATAGACGGGTGTCTATGCCATATGTCAAGCACTAAATCAATTAGGGTCTAAAAAAGTAAAATTTGTCAACACACTATCATAGATAACAAGTGAAACTGCGAGCTACTGCTCACTGATGATACCACCGCACAAATATTTCGGTAAACAGGAAGTTGTTAAGTGATGAATCTGAAAACGCATCACACGGTATAGATGAGTTATATAAACCCTGAAACCAAGTTTTAGAAATCCTTGTATTGTAGTTCCTGAAAAAAAATGACAAAAATTTTCAATAACATGTGTTTAACATCTTACCTGTTGGAAGACACTTGGAAATGAGGTAGGCTGAAGTTTTCCTGGGACTGGTCGTTGTTCATATTCCTCCGTGTCATCTATTTCTTCTATCAACTTTCTACTTGTCTGCAGTCCCCTTACCCGATGAGCAACAAATGCTGGTAGATTTATCTCCATGTCAGCTAAGCTTGGGTATAAACTGTACAAGTCTATATCCTAGAAATAACAAGATGATATTTTGATTTAATATTTATATCTTTCAAATAAAGCTAATTGTATGGAACATAAAACTTGTTTCATTATCTTCATACTGTACGATTGTTACTTATTCTGACCCTTAGAGTTTGTGGACTGTGTATCTGATATTGCGGCTTAATACAGTTTACTGCATTTAGCGGATTATATAAGAGTTTTACTGTTCGAGAGTTTTTCACATGACTAGCTCATATGAAGCACTAGTATGCTATCAAACCTCGGTATATCTTCATTGTTGCATGAAGTAAATATTCACTTAAAACATGCAAACAAGATAAACTGTGAGCTATTGCGAACTAATCATACCCAAATAGTAAATAAGTAAATAAATCAACTTTTGCAATGGGAAAAGTTAGTCAGCCCATTAAATGGCATGAAGACAAACATGAAGAAGTATGATGGAACAGACATTTTATATTTGTGTAAGACATTTTAAACATACTAGTTTTCAGCAAACAAAAAGTAGAACATGGAAGGAGCTTGTGTCACAAAGTATAACATGAACAGATAAATCTCTATGTCATAAATCAAGGTATGACTCGTACTTGTTGAGATAAATGTGAAACTTTAAAGATATTACTTTTCAACTATCAGGCAGTAGAATATCAAGAAAATAACAATGTATTGCACAGTAAGGCATAACCAGAAGAAACTTTGTGTCATATAAATTAAGAAGTAATGACTTGTAGTTTTTCAGAAAAAGGTTTACAGCGAGAGAGAGAGAGAGAGAGAGAGAGAGAAGGGGAGAGGGGCAGAGGTAAACCAGTAGTTCTAACGACATTTAAGTCTGTATCTGATATTGCGGCTTAATACAGTGTACTGCATTTAGCGGATTATATCAGTTTTATTATTCGAGAGTTTTTCACACCACCAGCTCATATAAAGCACCAGAATGCTATCAAACCTCGGTATATATCTTGATCAGTGTGCATATAATTACTGATTAATAAAAAAAATATCTTGTCCTTATTTTGTCATTTTACTTGTTACTAATTTCATTCTATTATGTTGCATCATAACAAGAGATGAAATATCTTCGTCATATCATTCCAGGAAGACTTATTAATATTCAATTTCATCCATACAACAAAAAAAGTATTAGGGGGAAAAGAATCAGTTATGAATACACATGAAAACAAGATTTACTCACAAATTATACCCTAGCTCAAATATTGTTGGTCATTATTTGCAGTAAATATGTGAATCAATTAACTTTTGAAATAGCAAAAGTGAGGAAGACCAACATGAAAAATATGACATTTTAAAGACATTTTTTCAGCAAACAGGAAATGGAACTTCAAAAGAAGTGAAATCCTACCACATGGTATAGAATTAACAGACAAAGCTCTATGCCATATATCAAGGTAGGACTTGATGAGATAAATGTTGTAAAAATTTCATCATGTGACAATTTAAATATATGTGTGTGTATATTAGTTTTTGACAAATCAACTGTGTAAGATCAATAAAAACACAAAATCTCACCCAGTGAGGCATAACCAGATGAAGTCTTTTATCATGTATAAAGTTTGGACTTTTAGTTTCTCAGAAAAAAGTTACGAGCGAGAGAGCGGTGCAGAGGTAAACCAGTAGATCTCCTCTTGAAAGTTCTAAGTCTGTATCTGATATTGCGGCTTAATACAGTGTACTGCATTTAGCGGATTATATAAGAGTTTTACTGTTCGAGATTTTCTCACACCACTAGCTCATATAAAGTACCAGTATGCTATCAAATCTCAATATATCTTCATTAGTACATACAGTAACAGTCTAATAAGAAATTGATGCATTGTCATGCCAAATTTAACTCCATTTCTAATTCACAAGTATTTGAAAACAAGAAGTAAGCGTCTGACAGATTTGAAAATCTGTTCAATAGTACTCAAGAAAAGTGTGACTAAAATGTCTGTTGGAGAAACAGATGTACAAGGATATTGCAATATAGCCAGAATTTCTAGAATGGAGGTATAACATAGTGTCATATTTGTCATTCAATTTGCATTAAAGTACTTTTTTATATTATGACAACACTGAACAAAGAATAAGATCATTCAGAACATCTTTATCTTAAGATATCCTAATATTTCATCAGTTCAAACAAAAAATGTATATATAAGGAGGGAAGAATATGACATACTTGCAGAAAAACAATCCAATGATATACCTTGAAAAATGGCATAAATATTGCAGTTCATCATCATCTTGAAATCCACTGATAGATCTGCGTTCAGTTTAAGACTTAAGTATTAGGTATAAGAGAATGACAATATCTTGTAGATTCCATAAATAAAACATAAATTCCAAATGGCTATAAGAGTTTCTATGGCAGGTCATACTACTGTGATAGCTTACCCTCAATGGATCATATTCTAAAACATTCAGGACACATGAAGATGTGCGATAACATATGCCCTCGGCCTGGAATGGTGAAATAATTGGTCTTGGATCAAACAAGCTTGGATGGTTACAGACTTTTCTCAACTGCATCAGTACATTGATGACAGACATAAAATGTCCTGATTGTAAAGTTTCCCTTGTTCTGAAATATATGAAAAGGATATTAAATGACTGACAAAATTATTCGCACACTGTCAAAAGAAACAATCTATATTTAAATCGCTTTGCATATTTTACTGGCCTGTGTCATATGACTTGAGTGTTATTTCAGACACGAAATTTCCATTTAAAGTGGCTTCTCCAGGTGATAGATATACATTTTCAGAAGAAAATTTTAAGTTTATAACCAAGCAAAAATGGTCAAAGAAACAGCGACATAGGGACAGATAGCAACTTTTAACAATTATAAAAAAAATAACTGTTTCAGAAATTTGACCATAGTGAAAAGCGAAGTGACAGATGGGAAAGCGACTTCTTCGACCTAGTTGTAGGTACATTGTTGTGTAGTGTGAGACCTGATTGCAGTTGACATTTCTGTCTCTTAGGTTTTACTTCAAACATCTTCCTAGCCTTGCATAAGAATACAACAGAACACGGTTTGAAGAGTTGCCGGTCAATTAAGGATTTGATGGTATCAACTCTGAACACGGTACTGGCATTCCTAAATTTTAGGTAACTTCTGCAGCATGTCAAATAATGAGAAAAGTTGTTGTTTTGAAATCCTAGACACTGAATTAACTATTAACAGTGATCTTTCAGGTTTTGTTCTATTGTGAGGTTCCTGTCTCATTTAGGTATACCACACATCTCCATTTATTCATATCATTTTCACGTATAAACATTATTCAATTTTATTACTTACGCTCCTTGTGACATGAAATCTTCATAAAGGTATCTCTGTCTTTTGGACAAGTGACACATTACAACATGTTCATATTTTTTAGGCATCTGTTTCTCAACATCACATTTTAATCTTCTCAATAAAAAAGGTCTCAATACCTGAAAAAATGTCATCTCGTAAGTTTGCATACCAATACAATAGCATATTAAATAGAAATAAACATAATAGATGTAACTAACATTGCTGATCTGATACAGTATACTGCATCTGATGGATGATGTTAGTCATTGATGTACGAGGACTTTCATACGCAACATTTATCAATGTTCCGTCTTTACTGCCTCAATAAAAATATTTTTTTGTTTATTAATCCTTTCATCAATAACATCAGTAATCCACAACATTATAGAAGAACTAGTCAAATCTTTACCAATCAACAGTACCTACATTCAAAGTTTCAAAGAGAGAAAATATATTGTTCCCAACCCTTTTTCAAATGAAAGTTAAAACAACCCTTTGAACAGCAAACTGATTTAGTATGGCCGAAGTATTCATACAATATATAAATAAACTTTTCAATTTAAAACATATACATGTTACAACTATATAAATGAATTGTTTAATTTGAAAACATATAACACAACAAAATAAATGAACTATTCAATTTAAAACATATAACAAGGCTATTCAGGCAAATCATTTCTAATGATAGTTCACCAGTAAAACCTTGAACAATATAAATAGAACAGCCTTTATAAGAGTTTATTTGATTCCTTAATAATCTAATAGAGAAACATTTTACCTTATGGAGCCTTCTAATGAGACTTTCATTGTATTCATGACTGCCTTCTATCATGCCAGTTAATGGGTTAGCAAACCATTCCTTGAATTCTTTATGTGACTGGAACACATGGGGCATAAGGAAGTGCATCAAGGACCATAACTCCATCAAACTGTTCTGTAGAGGGGTACCAGTAAGGAGGAGTCTCCGCTGACTTGAGAAGTTTAACAACATCTGCCATCTTTGGGATTTAAAATTCTTGATGTTCTGAGCCTGAAATATGAAGCAATCAATTGTTAATTTGAATCAAAATACAATATCTTACTCATCACTTGACAATAACCAAATCTGTAGGCTATAACATTGTCCTCCCAAGAAACTGATTTTAAAATGGTCATTTAAAACATTTTAAATAGTTCTTTTCAATTCAATTATTTCATTCTACTCCACAATGTATGTCTACTATGACAGGACACTTCAATACCACTGAACTGGACAAATGAAGCGTTTTAAATAGTACTTTTGTATATCCTCTCTTGGTACCCAATGTAGAAACTTGTTCCAGAATGGTTGTGAGAAAGGAATAGTATTGGTATTAATGTTTATATAGTTCAATATTGTCAATTAAGAATTTTCAAAATGAGTCCTTTTTTTCCTTCTTGTCTGGTTCAACAATGGTCAATTAAAATATTTTAAACAGTTCTTTTGATTCCCTCTCTTCGTATTCCAGCTAGACTAAAATGGCCAATGAAAATATTTTTAACAGTTCTTTTTATCTTTCTCATTCAGAAATGCACCTAAAGTGGTTGAAAAGGATTTTACTCACGTTTTCTGACAGAAAAAAAAGTAATTATAACTGAGCATTCAATCCTAAAGCCATTTAAACTAGTTCCATGGTGCCTTTGGTGGATATTTTTTAGTTGCCACCCACTGTTTATCATAGTTGGTTAGTTACTTATTGTATAATTATTTCAATATACTCCACAAGGTCCTGGTTGTCTACTATGACAGGACACTTCAATACCACTGAACTGGACAAATGAAGCGTTTTAAATAGTACTTTAGTATAACCTCTCTTGGTACCCACTGTAGAAACTTGTTCCAGAATGGTTGTGAGAAAGGAATTGTTTTGGTTTAAATGACCATAGTTGTTTCAAAACTTGTAAATTCAGAATTTTTTTTTAAGTATTCTCCTTTATTCCTAGTCTTAGAACCAATTCTAGAAACTGGTTATCAAAATATCATCAATCAAAATGTTTAAATAGTTCCTATCTTTACCTCTCTTAGTTTCCAATCTAAAAATTGATAATAAAAAGGTGAATGAAAACATTGAATACACAGTTCTGCTAGTCTTTCTTGGTACTCATTCAGAATATGGAACTTAAATGATTGAATGGGTTTTACACTTGTTATCTGACAGATATAATAGCTAGCTGTCAGTTACTGATTTTTATATCAATTAATTTTTTTTAAATGATCCATTTGGTTTTGAGGTTTTTGGTTGATTTATTTGCAATGTTTAGTATGCAAGTCCTAAAGGAAATTTAAGATTGTTGCATGATAGCTTTAAATGATCGTTTTTAAGTTGCCACCATCTGTTTATTATGAATCCTTGCAGTTGCGGTCTAGTTTATTTGAATTTACTCCACAGCATCTTAGATCACATACTGTATGCATGTCTACTATGACAGGACACTCCAAGACCACTGAACTGGACAAATGAAGCGTTTTAAATAGTACTTTTGTATATCCTCTCTTGGTACCCAATGTAGAAACTTGTTCCAGAATGGTTGTGAGAAAGGAATGGGTTCAGGTTTAAGTGATCAAATTAGTTTCAATTATTATAAAATCAAAAATTATTTCAGGAATTACAGCATACACATAATGCTTTCACCATTTTACAAAGCAAATTGCATTAACTGATGCCATACTAACCTGGTCATATTTTTTCCATTTATAAAAAAACATTCTAAAATTACTTAATTCATTAGTGCCAAATGAGATTGGTCCAAAAATTAATAATGCAAGTCCCTGTGCGGGAAAACCCCCTTACATTTTACTGGTCCTAGATGTCTCTCTGGTGAGACAAGTTATTCTAATTATGAATTTGGAACAGACTTAACTTGAGTGAAAAAAAATTTAATCATTTAAAACTTGTTTAATTTTGAATGAATGCAAACCACTATATGCTACAGCTACTGACCAAATTTACAGTCACTCTTTTCAACAATAAACAGTAAAAGTGTGACAAAATATTTGTTGGGACTAACAACAGGACAGACAAAAGAGTAGGGTGTAATAAATACCAATAAGATTTTCTACAATTACTTCTAAACTCAGCAGAAATGAAATATTACACGGTTACTGTTGATAAATGATGTTATGATTAAATAAATGGACAAGGTGTCCATGGGACACAGATGATGTATACTGTACTGGCATATATCATTATAAAGGGACACAACTAGAGAACTGTAAAAGTGATGCCACCCAAATTTGAACTTGATTTGTGTTTTAAGGTAATAAGCATTGTGTATAAGTTTCATTACATTTGGTTGAGGCAAACTCAAATTAAAGAACAAACTAATCTTGGGTGGTTGTACGGACGTACAAAGGTAACACTTAATGCACCCCAGAGTGGGGGCATGAAAAAGTCACTTTATTAGTGTGTACATTATAAAGGGGAAAGGACTTATCTAAAATTTGTAAGTAGAAAACAGGAGAGAATTCATTTGCTGGTAGATTGTTTATCTCACAAATTAATCAACTGTATGTAACTCAAGTTTATTGTTCAGCTCATTTTTTAGCGTCATGATAGACAATAAACGCTTTGTTTCCTGCAAGCAGTATGTATGTCTACTATGACAGGACACTCCAAGACCACTGAACTGGACAAATGAAGCGTTTTAAATAGTACTTTAGTATAACCTCTCTTGGTACCCAATTTAGAAACTTGTTCCAGAATGGTTGTGAGAAAGGGATTTTTGTTGTTGTTGTATATTCAGGAATTAAGAGCATACAAATAAAGCTATCATAAGCTTAAAATGCAAGCTATATCAATTATTATTATACCTTATATTATATAGTAATTATTTCATGGGTTTATATGGAATCACGTGTCAATAGTTTAATTTCCATGTTTTTCCAAAAAATGGCAGGAGCGGTGAATAACCCAGACAAATTGAAGCCTCCATCGAACAAACCTATTATTCCCAGGTGAATAACCTTTGTCGTACCGCAATGATCACGAGTTAGTTCCCTTGAAAGTATGATGTCACTTAACGTCAGATCACCAAAAAACAAATATGGATTCCGCGGACAAGGTTCATGTTTTAGTCATTCTGATGAAAAAAGCTTTCAACCAGTTGCTTGAAGATAAGGATGCTCAAAATACTAAGGCCACCAAAGCAACATTGAATGTGTTTTTACAATTTCTTTTGGCTGAAAACAGGGACAGCATTGACTTTCAAACAGCAGATGAACTTCGTGCAGTCCTTTGTAAGTTTTACGCAGACACTTGTAAAGATGGAACCCACTACAAACTTACAATATTTTACACCTGATTGTTTGTTCAGTATACTGAAGCAGTTATGGCCCGTTGAATCGGTGAATATCCAAAATTGTCATCCCAAGTAAAGGTTATTCCCCTTGGGTTGACAATTTTGGATATTTACCTCCTCAGCGGGTCATAATTGTATAATGCCATACTATATATTTTATTTTTGCAATAAAGGACTGTTTCATACAAAATTCATGGAATATAAGGAACTTTGTGTGGGTATAAATACTATGTTGCACAAGCTTGAAATATATGCAGCTCTCCAAAAAATGCTTCCATTTTCAAAGGCCTTCTCTGGGTACCAAATGGAACAGCCACAATAATAAAATCATTGCAAAAACTAGAGGATAGTGGTGGGAGCCATCACCGAGGACCCAGCAATATGTAAATAATTAATCTGGGTTGCAATTAGGGTTATTCCACATATATCAGCACAGGGATGTTTAAAGTTCAACTATATATTTGTTGAACTAAGCTTTTGACCATGACTTTCAATGAAGTGTTTTCTTCTATGTACTTGTTAACTTCTAGGGGTTTTAAAGTTGGAGAGCAGAATCGTTCAGTGACAGATGGACATACAAACAAGCTGACAACTATAAGCCTTCCTCGATTAATCATGAGCAAGAGAACTAGTAAGAATAGAATAAATCTAACAAATTTGTAACTAACATTGCTGATCTGATACAGTATACTGCATCTGATGGATGATGTTAGTGGTTTATGTACGAGACTTCTCTTACGAATCATTTACCAATATTTCGCCTTATAATCTCGATTTTTACAATAATATGCAACTGAATTCGGTTAAATTCATCATGATCATTTAAATCTTGTAGAATTTAAAGCGATGCAAACAACACTATAGTATATGACCTGATAGATCGTCAGTTTTTGAAAATGGAGTCGGTCTATTTTCATCTTCGTCTATTTTTAAGTTTTTGAAAATAGTCTATTTTCATTTTCTAGTTTTTTTTCCAAATTAGACTACCAGAATCCAAAATTTGTCATACGAATGCCTACTATCCTCAAATGACAATCATTAACTAATGGATAATTGACAACCTTATCAGTAATAGAAGCTTTTTTCCCCCAACATGATTACAATAATAATTTGGTAGTGCTGTATGCAATGTACCCCCAAGACCAGTCTATTACAAACCTCATCTAATATAAGATATTTCCATTTCTTCCTTCTAAAAGCCTGGTGATCCTGAATGACCAACTTGTAAGATGTTATACAAACATGGAATGCATTGGTTTTGGTCCATCCCTATAAGCAGAAGATTTACATGTATACAGTTTTTATTTAAATAACTTCTTTATACCTTGTAAATTTTTATTTTCACATCATTACAAGTACAAAGATATGTGAAAAGTTTATTGCAACAAGAGATGCATTTTCTCTTTCTCTCCTAAGCATAAGGAACCAAAATAGTACATGAACAGAACATGATGTAACTAACATTGCTGATCTGATACAGTATACTGCATCTGATGGATGATGTTAGTGGTTTATGTACGAGACTTCTCTTACGAAACATTTACCAATATTTCGCCTTATAATCTCAATTGATAACAATAATTAACATGTAAACTTTGCATTTGAAAAGTCAATGAGAGAAATGGTAGTTTAATATACCTGACTTCACAACTTGTCTTTAAAAGGAACAAAGGTGTAAACTGAATTAGTCTTACTTATATTTAATATACTTTCTAATTTTTGAAAACATTGTGGGTAAGGTATAACTTTTTTTTAATGTCATTAAAAGAGTAACACACTCTTCATTTTTGCTGTATTTAAAGAAGTAATGAATATTTTTAGAACAAATATTTCATAATTGTAGGATAAAGGATATAATCTTTTCTGTTAGCTGTTATTGTAGATTCCTTGTTATTCATGGGGTACCTGTTTTAATAGTTGTCATAGATGTCAGTGAACCACCAAATTATGTGTTCAACAAAGTACCCATTTTCTATAGGCTTGTGTGCAAACTTTGGTGAAACCACGAAATCAAATATACATGAAAATAGGTTTTCCTCAATCAAAGAAAATAAACGAATCCACAGTATGTCATTTAACAGATAGTGTGTAAGATTAATTTTCAATCAACTGTAATCTGACAATTTAAAGAAAAATAATAAACAGCTACACCAGAGTGCATGATACACTTATCTTTAAACAGTCGGTTAAAGAGCTCTTAAGAGCTCATGTTCCTTGTTATTATGTATATATGCAACCCGACTTTAAATAAAGATTACTTACTTACTTACTTACTTAATCAATGCATATTGAATTTAATGGAATCCTTAAGCATATAAAAATTGCCATAATTATAAAGGTTAAGTTCAATTTCTCTGGAAAAGCAAATCCCAATATCATCAAAATGGAAAGCCAGTTACATTAACCATTCACAATAATAGTGTAAAGTTAATAGTATTTTGATCCAAGGCTGAACCATATTAGAGCTAGTGTTCAACATGTGAAAAATAGCCTATAATTAACAATTAATGTCCCTCAACTCGAAACCAACAAACCAGAAAAATTTCAAATTGAAATGGAGCTTTTTTTCACCATTTCAAATATTCCAAAAAGTGTGATTACATTAGTTTTAAGAATTGCTAAGTGAACTGATGGATAATGATATACAACAAAACATCCCATCACCCTGTAAACGAGTCATTAAAACTTAAGGATGATATGGAGGTGGGTTAAGGCAAGAAGGTGTAGGGAGGACAACATCTGATTGTAATCTGTGACAGGACACATTGTCCATATCTAAGATGATCAATGCGTTTTAAACAGATTCAAGTTTAATATATCCCTGTCAAAATTCACAAAAAATAATATGATCTTTCATGAGAGTGAGCAAGGGATTTCATATGGAAAATTGATTTACTTCCCTAAAACAGGTGACCACCGTCAACACCGAAACTAGATGGATCCTAGTTCTATCTTTGAGTAAAGGTAAGATCAATCCAAAAATTTGCAAACTAACAATTTTTCCAACAAAATGGGAAATTCAAGCATATTTTGAATTTTTGTTTGATAAAATATGGTTACCTGTCTCTTCAGTTTTCTTTCTTTCTGTGTTCCGTAGTAAGTCAATATTTTAAATGCTGGACACCATTTCTTCAATTCAAGTTCCCAATTCAACATGACACTCGTTGGTACAACAATCAAATGAGGTCCCCAAATCACTGAAAAGAAAGTTAAAATTAAATGAGTTCCAAAGATCACTGAAAATGAAGTTACAATCAAGTGAGGTCCCAAGCTCACCGATATTGAAGTAACAATCATCTAGAAATCACTGAAAATAAAGTTACTATCAAATGAGGCCTGAATTCACTGAAAGGTAAGTAGCAATCATGAGACCAGGGTCACTGAAAATGAAACCATCAGTTCACAGAAAGTAAAGTAAAGATCAAACGTTGTGTCAAGATAAGTGAAGTTACAAATCAATGTGGCCCTCAAATCAATTCAACTATGACAGAAACTCCAGTCTACAAGTACAAAGATATGTAATAAAATGCTTCGCTGGGGCGCAGCTTGATACGACCGCAGAGGTCGAACCCTGAACAGTTGGGGCAAGTATGGACACAACATTCAAGCTTGATACAGCTCTGAATTTGGATTGTTATTAAATATTTGACACAGCATAGGTTTCTGACACAGAAAGAATGTGGTCTAAGAACTTGAATTTTTTTAATTTACCTATTATGGTCCAATGTCCAAAATCAAAATACATGGTTAGATTCAGCATATCAAAGAACCCCATATATTCAATTTTTGTTAAAATCAAACAAAGTTTAATTTTGGACCCCAACTTGGACAAACTTGAAAACTGGGCCCATAATCAAATTCTAAACACATGTTTAGATTCAGCATATCAAATAACCCCAAGAATTCAATTTTTGCTAAAATCAAACTAAGTTTAATTTTGGACCCTTTGGACCTTAATGTAGACCAATTTAAAAAACAGGACTTAAAATTAAAAATCTAAATACACGGTTAGATTTGGGGTTAGATTTGGAATATCAAAGAACCCCAATAATTCAATTTTTGATGAAATCAAACAAAGTTTAATTTTGGACCCTTTTGACCTCAATATGAACCAATTTGATAGCGGGGCCTACAAATAAAAAATCTAAATTCATGGTTAGATTGAGCATATCAAAGAACCCCAAATATTCAATTTTTGTTGAAATCAAAAAAAGTTTAATTTTGGACCCCAACTTGGACCAACTTGAAAACTGGGCCCATAATCAAAAATCTAAACACATGTTTAGATTCAGCATATCAAAGAACCCCAAGAATTCAATTTTTGTTAAAATCAAACTAAGTTTAATTTTGGACCCTTTGGACCTCAATGAAGACCAATTTAAAAAACAGGACCCAAAATTAAAAATCTAAATACACGGTTAGATTTGGAATATCAAAGAACCCCAATAATTCAATTTTAGATGAAATCAAACAAAGTTTAATTTTGGACCCTTTTGACCTCAATATGAACCAATTTGATAACGGGGTCCACAAATAAAAAATCTAAATACATGGTTAGATTCAGCATATCAAGGAACCCCATATATTCAATTTTTGTTGAAATCAAACAAAGTTTAATTTTGGACCCCAATTTGGACCAAAAATCAAAAATCTAAATACATGTTTAGATTCAGCATATCAAAGAACCTCATATATTCAATTTTTGCTAAAATCAAACAAAGTTTAATTTTGGACCCTTTGGACCTTAATGTAGACCAATTTGAAAACTGGACTCAAAATTAAAAATCTAAATACACTGTTGGATTCGGCATAACAAATAAATAAATGTGATCAAAGATTTTACAAATCTAATGCGCCATACTGTGCAACTAAAGATTTCTTCTTGAAATTTTTCAATATTTGAAATTTGAAAAAAAAATAATATTTGAAGAATAATTTTTTTAATTTCTGAAATCTGAAATGAGAAAAATTGACCCCCCACAATTTCTTTTTATCCCCCCCCCCCCTTTTTTCCCCCAAACAATTCTTTCCCTCAAGATATGGTCATAATCTCAATTCAAATTTCCAATGGAGTTGGCAACCATAATTACCCATTTAAATTTACCATAGTGCTAACTTAATCTATTTTATAATAGAATTAAAAATATAGTGTCAAATCTTTCATATGGATTTTTTTGTAAAAAAAAAAGATGCAACATTTGCAGATATTTTTACTGGTCTTCCTTTATAAATATGCATTTCTTTAAACATAATTTAAAAGCAGTGTAAGGGAAGTAACCAAAACGTTGTATTTGGATTACCTCCCTTACACTGTTTTAAATTATCTTTATTGTTCATTAACCATTACTTTATACATAATTTAAAAGCAGTGTAAGGGAGATAATTTCAATGATGTATTTGATTTATCTCCCTTACACTGCTTTACATTATGTTTTGTACTAAAGTATTTGTCCATTAACCAGGACAACCTTGTTTTTCCCCCTTTTTTGCCCCTAATTCCTAAACGGTTTGAGCCATAACCCCCCAAAGCAAATCCTAACCATCCCTTTGTCATACATGTGATTCTTCCGGCGGGAGTCAAAATCTCCCGCATTTCAGACCCTCTTCCGTCCCTCCCGTTAAAATTTGAAATCTTCCGCTTTTTGAAAATGTCAACCTCGTAAAATTTTCATTAGACATTTTTGTTTACAAAATCGATACGGACAGAGAAAAAGTCCGAGAAACTCGAAATTGATATGGGAAAAGTCCGAGAAAAACGGAAGTTTCCTGTAATGGATTTTGTGTCAAAAGTTAAAATAGGTAAAATTAGCCTGAGGTGTTTAGGATTAAACTGTATATACAACAATAAATAAAAGATAATAGGCAATTACCTAGTGATCAACTAGCTAGTTTAAGACACAAGCAAGGTTGATTAAAAGTGAAATACTGACAAAGGATTAAATTGTACAAGTTGTATAAACAACAATTTAATTTGATGCTGTTGAAAACATGGAACGTTTACTGAACCTCAAAGACAAATGAAATCAACTCAAATATGATATTTATGGCTTGTTTTCTATCCAAGCCAATGGAATACCTTTATAAGTACAGTTGTCTTGGACTATTCTAAAATTTTAGAATTTGACAAAATACAAACCGTATTTTTATATCACCAAATACCCCAGCAGCAAATAAAAGAAGACCAAGTATCTAGCCAAATTCAACTCTGCCTGGAGATCTGATTTCAAATGATGCAGATCCAGTACCAAGGGTCAAGACCATGCTTACTACACTTCATGCAAAGCTGACTGTGGTGGCCCTAATGATTTGACCAAACTTATGGGGACAGCTACCCACCAGCAAGCCTACAACTCTATCAATTAACACCTTCTGTTACAAGCATGTTCAGTAGTAGTACCAAAGTTGACAATGTAGCTGAATCAGGGGTACTTTTTGCCAACTCTGTATGATGGCTGATCGCTTTATCTTGAATTATATATAATGAATAAATATTTGAAACCCCTTATCTTCTATTTTTATCAAGTAAAAATGGATATGGAGTTGTTGAAAGGTATGGAATTATTGTTCTTTTAACAAACAAAAAAGAAGATATGCAGTTTAAAAACACAAAAAACCATTGCGTACGTCGATAAATAGGTCGATAAAAAATCTCCAGTTATGAAGCCCAAACTCCAGCTGAAAATTTCCAAATCTCCAGTTGTGGCTTGACAACTCTGTCACATGTCTGCTTTGTGGTATGGAAACTTGTAGTATAATTTCAGAGAGATCCATACACCGTTCCACAGTTATTGTCTGGAAACTAGAAAATGCTTATTTTTGGCCCCTAATTCCTTAACTGTTGGTACCATAACCCCCAAAATCAATCCCAACCTTCCTTTTGTGGTATTTAACCTTATGGTCAAATTTCAAAAAGATCCATTTACTTAAACTAAAGTTAGAGTGCGAAAACCAATGTGTCTTCGGACGACGACACCGGACGACGACGCCAACGTCATACCAATATACGACCACAAAATTTTTTTGCGGTCGTATAAAAAATGTTTTGCAATAAGAGATGCATTTTCTCTTTCTCTCCTAAGCATAAGGAACCAAAATAGCACATGAACAAACATAATGTAACTAACATTGCTGATCTGATACAGTATACTGCATCTGATGGATGATGTTGGTGGTTTATGTACGAGACTTCTCTTACGAAACATTTACCAATATTTCGCCTTATAATCTCGAATTTAAAAAATGCAAACAATTTATTTGTAAATCATATTATCAGAGGATTTCTAAATCATACTGTATAAAAATTCATTTCTACACATTACCTACAGTACTGATTTAGTTTTTTCAAATCTTTAATATTATCCTTTACTTGATACTATACTTTGCTCCATTGCCAAGCACAACTATAATTTTCCCTTTTTTGATAGTATGATTGTTTTTGTTCTCTTTAAATTCATTTGTTACAGAAGCAAACCCAGAAGTTGAATCTTTCCTGAAATGTATATCAATGGGTTTACTCCAAATTTGATTGGTCATCTCTGAAAACCTACCCAAGACCTTTAGTGTATAAACATTTAAAGTTTTTGCAAGATAAAATTTGCCTTCAGATAGCCCACCTTCCTTTCTAACAGATCCCATACCTTTTTCACATGCCAGATGAGCTAGAAGTGCAATTGTTTGGATTGTCTTGCCCAGACCCATTTCGTCAGCCAGAATACCATTTAACCTCTTCTCGTACATCGTAGCTAACCAGTCCAGACCTACATGTTGGTACTCCCTCATAGTGTGCTTCAACAGGAATGGAATTGTTGTCTTCACCTGTTGTAAGTCAAATATTTCACAATCAAAACATTGTTCTTAAGTGGTTTTGAAATTAAAGAAATATATGAAAGACAATATCAAATATTCAAAGGTTAAAACCACCATAACTAATAACATACCTCAGCAAGTTTTCAACTAAGATGAGTCCAGTCATAATTCATAAAATCTTAAAACATTAATTGAACATTGAATAATTGTTTGTTTTTGTATTGACTAGAAGCATCACCTAGTGGAACAAATCAATATTATTTTACTTGAAAACACAAGGCTGATCATTAATGAACATGTTAAGTACCTAAGCAGTAATTACAGGTACTGTGAATTCTAGTATTAATAAATGATTTAATACAAGTTACTGTAAACCAACTTATTTCATTGTGTTTAGCCCTTTCTAGCTGATTACAAAACAATTTATATTTACAATTTTCTAATCTTTGATGATATGAAAATATAAGGCGGATCAAACTTTAACATATTTGGGACGATTTATTTTGGCATTATCTTTCTAATCAATGGCAAAAATAAGTTAGTTTGCAGTATATGAAAAGACCACTTTCTGTTCTCAAGTGCATGATGATCAGTTTAATTGGTGAATAATGTCCTTCATAACCTTTGCCATATACCTGGAAAACTCATAAAAAGGTCACTTCAAAATTTTTTTTCAATTATAATATGTACATTTATGTTAATGTATCTTTCTTGAGATTTGAATGCTCTACTACAAAAGCATTCAGAGCAATTGAAAGACGATTATTCTGTGGCACTAATATTATTCAATTCAAACAAATGATGAACTGACATTACTGATAGAAGTGCCATTAAGTACTATTACGATTATCCTTACACTTGTGGAGTCCAATGTGTAGCCTTTTGGTTGTAGACTGGCAGCCTCAGCAGCTATATCTGTTAGCTCTTTACCAGGTCCAGTTGCATCAAATTCTTCCTGAAAGTATCATATGGTTATATATTAATATTCCTTACAGGAACTGTATTGTACTTCATATACTGTACATGACAGTTATATAAAAGATGTGAAATCAACAAGACATATCATTTTGATAGTGCAAAAGCTTGTGGAACCAGATTTAAGATTTGCATTTCTTAATATACCCCCATTCACTATAAATCCAATAAAAGAGATTTACTGGTGTTGTCCACGGTTAATCGGTTAACCGTCGGAAGGATCGAAAATCAAATACCAAAAAAAGCTAACCGGTTAACCAGACCTTTTTTAAATTTTTATAGATTTGATATAATCATTTATTAATTTTTAAGATGATAGTCTTGCTAATTAATTTGACAGATCAATTGTCCAGTATATTGATTACTATTGTTTATCTTGAAAACACTCCAATTTTACAAAAATTAATTAACACAAAGACAACTTGTCTATTGGCTCGGGGCAAGATCTAAAGTAACCATAATATGCGTACATGTATTGTGAACAGTTGGTTAAATTTTACGATTTACTGCATTATTTTATTTTGATTTAATATCGCGTAGATCATGAAAATATGCCACCTCCATCTTCTAAGGCTTTGTCATACTACTCAAGGCCAACTCAAAAATGGTATAACGCAAATTATGTAAATGGAGTTAATATATAATACTGTGTGGTACAAGTAAATAAAATGCTTCGCTGGGCGCAGCTTGATACGACCGCAGAGGTCGAACCCTGAACAGTTGGGGCAAGTATGGACACAACATTCAAGCTTGATACAGCTCTGAATTTGGATTGTGATTAAATATTTGACACAGCATAGGTTTCTGACACAGAAAGAATGTGGTCTAAGAACTTCAATTTTTTTAATTTACCTATTATGGTCCAATGTCCAAAATCAAAATACATGGTTAGATTCAGCATATCAAAGAACCCCATATATTCAATTTTTGTTGAAATCAAACAAAGTTTAATTTTGGACCCCAACTTGGACAAACTTGAAAACTGGTCCCATAATCAAAAATCTAAACACATGTTTAGATTCAGCATATCAAAGTACCCGAAGAATTCAATTTTTGTTAAAATCAAACTAAGTTTAATTTTGGACCCTTTGGACCTTAATGTAGACAAATTTAAAAAACGGGACCCTAAATTAAAAATCTAAAAACACAGTTAGATTTGGCATATCAAAGAACCCCAATAATTCAATTTTTGATGAAATCAAACAAAGTTTAATTTTGGACCCTTTTGACCTCAATATGAACCAATTTGATAGCGGGCCCACAAATAAAAAATCTAAATACATGGTAAGATTCAGCATATCAAAGAACCCCATATATTCAATTTTTGTTGAAATCAAACAAAGTTTAATTTTGGACCCCAATTTGGACCATCTTGAAAACTGGGCCAAAAATCTAAAATCTAAATACATGTTTAGATTCAGCATATCAAAGAACCCCATATATTCAATTTTTGTTGAAATCAAACAAAGTTTAATTTTGGACCCCAACTTGGACCAACTTGAAAACTGGTCCCATAATCAAAAATCTAAACACATGTTTAGATTCAGCATATCAAAGAACCCCAAAAATTCAATTTTTGTTAAAATCAAACTAAGTTTAATTTTGGACCCTTTGGACCTTAATGTAGACCAATTTAAAAAACAGGACCCAAAATTAAAAATCTAAATACACGGTTAGATTTGGCATATCAAAGAACCCCAATAATTCAATTTTTGATGAAATCAAACAAAGTTTAATTTTGGACCCTTTTGACCTCAATATGAACCAATTTGATAGCGGGCCCACAAATAAAAAATCTAAATACATGGTAAGATTCAGCATATCAAAGAACCCCATATATTCAATTTTTTGTTGAAATCAAACAAAGTTTAATTTTGGACCCCAATTTGGACCAACTTGAAAACTGGGCCAAAAATCTAAAATCTAAATACATGTTTAGATTCAGCATATCAAAGAACCCCATATATTCAATTTTTGTTGAAATCAAACAAAGTTTAATTTTGGACCCCAACTTGGACCAACTTGAAAACTGGGCCCATAATCAAAAATCTAAACACATGTTTAGATTCAGCATATCAAAGAACCCTAAGAATTCAATTTTTGTTAAAATCAAACTAAGTTTAATTTTGGACCCTTTGGACCTTAATGTAGACAAATTTAAAAAACCGGACCCAAAATTAAAAATCTAAATACACGGTTAGATTCGGCATATCAAAGAACCCCAATAATTCAATTTTTGATGAAATCAAACAAAGTTTAATTTTGGACCCTTTGGACCTCAATGTGGACCAATTTAAAAAAGGGGCCCAAAATCCAAAAACTTAATACACGGTTAGATTCAGCATATTAAAGAACCCCAAGAATTCAAGAATAAAACCCCATTGAAATTGATCAAGAAATAAGCAATTTATACGAAGTATCTTCTTTTGCACAATACTGTGCAATTGAATATTTCTTGCTATTGCGCAATACTGTACAATTGACAATTTCTTGCTATTGCGCAATATTGTGCTATTGGATATTTCTTGCTATTGCGCAATACTGTTAAATTGAAGATTTCTTGCTATTGCGCAATACTGTGCAATTGAAGATTTCTTGCTATTGTGCAATACTGTGCAATTGAAAATTTCTTGCTATTGCACAATACTTATTATATAATAATTTACACATCCTGTTTGGTGTGTATCTCCTACCATATCATTATTATTTGCTTTTAAATATAAATCAGAAATAACCAACTTAAAATGGAAAATTTTAAAAGAAAAAAAAAAGGAAAAAAAGAAAAAAAAAAAAAAAAAAAATCCCCCCCCCAATTTTTTGAACCCCCTTATGATTCATCACCCCCAAACTCAATCCCAGCCTTCCCTTTGTGGTATGGTACCTTGCAGTACAATTTCAGAGAGATCCATACACTTGAACACAAGTTATTGTCTGGAAACTAGAAAAATGCTTATTTTTGGCCCCTTTTTGGCCCCCAATTCCTAAACGTTTCGGGCAATTACCCCCAAACTCAATTCCAGCTTTCCCTTTGTGATATGGAACCTTGTAGTACAATTTCAGAAATATCCAAACACTTACACACAAGTTATTGTCATGAAACTAGAAATATGCTTGTTTTTTGCCCCTTTTTTGGCCCCTAATTCCTAAAATTTTGAGGCAATTACCCCCAAAATCAATTACAGCCTTCCCTTTGTGATATGGAACCTTGTGGTACAATGTCAGAGAGATCCATACACTTACACACAAGTTATTTTCTGAAAGTTACAAAAATGCTTATTTTTGGCCCCTTTGTGGCCCCTAATTCCTTAACTGTTGGTACCATAACCCCCAAAATCAATCCCAACCTTCCTTTTGTGGTATTGAACCTTATGGTGAAATTTCATGGAGATCCATTCACTTAAACTAAAGTTAGAGTGCGAAAACCAATGTGTCTTCGGACGACGCCGGACGACGACGCCAACGTCATACCAATATACGACCAAAAAATTTTTAATTTTTGCGGTCGTATAAAAACTTAATAAACTCAACAGCATCTTCTGGAACACCAGAGAAAATGAAACAATCACCAATTATAGACATTGTTAATCCAATGATATTAAGATGATTTTCATCTTCTCAATCTGAAGTTATTACAAATGCCATAGTAGATATGGTAGTATTGGATTATCAAAAATAAAACTTTGTCAGTACTGCTCAAAGCCAAGCCTTATAATGTCAAACTATAAACTTCACTTGGGATTCATCTTATTATTTAACAAGCATTTGTAGAGTAGTGAAGACCTTTAAAACATCAATTTAACTATCAGTTAACCTGTTTATAATCGGTCGAAAGATTGTCAGAGTAACCAGGTAGTCAAAACTTTTCAATTTGACAACACTAAAATTTACATATGAGTCCATAGTACATGAATGCCCCACTCCCACTATCATTTTTTATGTTCAGTGGACCGTGAAATTGGGGTCAAAACTCTAATTTGGCATTAAAATTAGAAAGATCATATCATAGGGAACATGTGTACTAAGTTTCAAGTTGATTGGACTTCAACTTCATCAAAAACTACCTCGACCAAAAACTTTAACCTGAAGCGGGAATTTTGTATAGGTGTTAACTATTCTCTATAAATACTTTATGAATCAGTGATGATACTGTTTGTTGTCTATGACAGGACACTTCAATATTAACGAACAGATCAATGAAGCGTTTTAAATAGATCTTTTGCTTTACCCCTCCTTGGTACCCATTATAGAAACATTTCTATCATGGTTGTGAGAAAGGGATGTTTTCATATAGTTATATATTTCATAATTCCTTACTGACCTTGACTGTTTCTTTATCTTGTTCCATCAATGATTCCAATCCAACATCCTCTTCTACATCAACATCTTCTTCCTCCTCCTCTTCCTCTTCTTCTGAAATCGAAAAACATAATTCTTTTTAATGCATATTCTTCTTAAAAAAAACCAGATAATTGCTATGGAAACTTTGTATTGAGACTTATTTTCTGAAATCTTTCCAATGCGGTGTAAGGAGAAATTCATAAAGCTGTCCCAAGCTAAGGTAACCAAGTATCTCTGATATATAGCAAGTACTCGGTGCATAAAGCCAGGATTTATTGTAGGAAATCACTAGCACCAAAGTGGCAACAATATACACATCTGGTGACTCTTGACTCCATAATTATCAGTGGAACATAAGCACAAGTGTAACCTTTCATTATTGAGTTTATGTTAGGTTTTGTTATGAAATTTGTCTTGCCCTTAATTGACCATGCTGTCATAAAAAAAATTAATGGGGAATGTGTCCATGGGACACAGATAATGCCCCCGCTTGCATATAACGTTATAAAGGGACATAACTCAAGAACGGTAAAAGTGACGCTACCAAAATTCGTATTTGATCTGAGTTTTGTGGTAATTAGCATTGTGTATAAGTTTCATAACATTTGGTTGAGGCAAACAAGTTAGAGAATGGAAATGAAAAATTCAGCAATTTTTCCATTTGTAAAGGGGCATAACTCAAGAATGGTGAAAGTGACGCCCTCAAAATTTAAACTTGATCTGAGTTTTGTGGTAATAAGCATTGTGTATAAGTTTCATAACATTTGGTTGAGGCAAACTAAAGATAGAGAACGGAAACCAATTTCGGAAGTACAGACAAAAGTAAAACTTAATGCCCCCTCAGCTATGGCGTGGCATAAAAATCGTGAGAAATTACTGATGTGCATTTTTCCAAAACTAAATGTATTTCTTTCACTATCTGCTTTCTTATAACATACAAATATTTTACCTTCAGACTCTCCTTCTTCTTCCTCCGTTTCATCTCCTTCCTCGTCACTTGGCTCATCATACTCAAAGTCACTATCATAAGCAGCAGCATACTTCTTATACAACTCTTCCATGGGTAAATCACCTTCATCTTCTAAATCTTTTAATTCATTACTATAGTCTGTTTTCTTCTCGTGTTTCTCTTGTTCAGCTATTGTTTCTTCCTTGTCTGCCTCATCTTCTTCCTTTCCTGTAAACTCCTCATCTTTACCATCATCCTGTTACAAAAAAACATTTTCTTTAAATAATGATTCAAATTTGCTATTTGTACTTCAGAATTATCAAGACTACCTTCCTACTATCTAGATAATACACAGCCAGCCATCCAGGGGCCAAGTAGCCAAGACTACTAAATTTTGGGCTTGGTACTTAAATTTGACCTTAAAATGTTGACAGTGTTCATGTCAATCTTTCATACTGAGGCATGCCAGGATCGATTGATAAGTTGACTTCTTGATGTGCAGCAGTAATAGATTTCATGCATAATCAAGACAATAAGTGTGATATCAACATTCCTTGCTTTGAACAACACCAACGTAGCGAATCATTTAACGTGTTAGCTTACAGAGCAAAAGTTTGAAGGAAGAAATTTCCCAGAAACTAGCAAGGAAAGAGGATATTGATTTTTAAAAATATACCTTTAAGTTGAGTTTCATATTTATTATTCGCTATTCTGAAGATGAAAAAAATATATGTTTCCTCCAATTATGATTATGTAAATGCATAGTGCTTGCAGTTTAAATGTATCAAGCATTTTTTTCTTCAATTATTTAAGCCGAAGTACAATATTGATTTATATGTGAAATAAAATGGTACCTTGCTTAAGTAAATACAGAATATAACTTTGGGTTTAACTTACCTCTGGTTCATCTATCTCATCATCATCAGGTAAACTTGCTGGTTTTTCCAAAATGTCCGATGGCAAAGTCTTCAACAGATCTTCTAATGGTACTTCACTCTCTTTTTGTAATGCTTCAAGCTCTTCTTTTGTTGATGACTGAAATTACAAGATACAGTACAGAACTCTTGAGTACAATTGTAATACACTTCAATTTGAAATGTTTTCGAAAGAACAGTAAGGCCACTTTAAAAGGATATAAAGATAACAGTATTTAAAACTGACATTTCAGCAGAAAAGTGGTCACATTAGGTCAGTCTAATCATTTTATCAATGAAATCCTCGTATTTTGACATGTTTGGTGAATTTTACTTTTTTGGAATTCCTGGTGCAAAAAAATGCACTGTTTCAAGCTAAGGTAACCAAGTATCTCTGATATATAGCAAGTACTCAGTGCATAAAGCCAGGATTTAATGTAGGAAATCACTAGCACCAAAGTGGCAACAATCTACACATCTGGTGACTCTTGACTCCATATTATCACAACTTCTCAAGACTATCTGTTCATTACATTTTAGGATGGCAATTCAAGAAACAACGACTCAGTTTTATGTTATATTTTCTGTGAAAAGAAACAGCTTATGACAAAATATAAGTGCAATTTTGACTGTTTATATCATTTTTTGCATTAACAGTTTCTAGATACATGGAAAAAATAGAAAAACAAATATTAATAAGACTTGCAATCTACTCTCATTCATAATACCAAATATTGAGCTATTGTGTGTATGTACTGGTTGATACCTCCGTTATTCAGAGCCTCCCCTTGAAGGTGCGAGGGTACAGTGGTATCCATGTACACTCCGTAACAGGATTAATGGTGATGTGTCACTAACATATGTACAACCCACCACCAAGGACAAATCCCAAACCCAACACGCCAGGAGTGCTAGGACACCGGTAAGTCTTATGGTGGAGGAAGCCGAAGTACTCGGAGAGGACCACTGGGCAACCAGAGCGGGAACAGACAAACCAAAGAGATATCTGAAGATTGATCTAATCTAAGTCTGGGCCCCTTTGACCAATAGAGGCCTCCAAAGTATTCATACTAGTTTAAAACTCCTGTCTGGGTAAAAGAGATGTCTGTGGGAGGGTGAATATCACCCTTCTGATGTACTGAAATTTCCAGTGCCCCAAAACCTTCTGCACTGTAGCCTTAGGTCTAAACGACTAATAAAGACAACCAACCCACATTAAGCTTTTAAGCTAATGATGCTTTTGATAAGGTAATAATTCTTTGTACAATACTTTTGCATTGAAAGTAGAAATAGGTATATCCAAAAATGTTAATAGCAGGTTTCTTTTATTACTTTATTTGGAGTTCCCAAAACAAAGAATTTTGATATGGAAACTTGCTTATATGCAAGCTTCTTAAATAATGCTGAACACACAGATAAGTTAAAACATATTTTACCTCATCCTTTTCCATTTCTTCTTCTTCCTTCTCAATTGTTTCTTCATCATCAGATTCCTCCACCTCTGGTTTAAACTCATCTGTAATTATAAACACTTCTCATTTAACATCTCTAACAATGATTTCAAGACACTATTTTCCTGCAATAGTAATCAAGCTATGCATAATGTGTATCAGTTGATAATTTTATACAACACATTGATTTGTCAAGAATGCCCACTTGATTGACAATATTTTAAATGTTTTAAATGTTTGTTCTTTGAAGACTTGATTATCCTGGAGATAGAAGTCTTTCTGGTGTAATTTAATCAAAAGTAAGCACAAGGTTGCCTATAATTTCTTACATCCACTTCATTTCAACCCTGGTGCATAGTTGTCTCATTGGCAATCATACCACATTTTCTTATTTTCATATTTAATACTGACCATCTCCTGCTTCACTGAGAGACCCTAGAGAGCCTGCTGTAGAGCCTACAGAACTGCCTTGTTTCAATCCTTCAGTCAGCCATGTAGAATATTTTTCAGTTTGATCCACTATGAAGTTCAAGTGGATATCTAACGCTTTCTTCCTCTTCTCTTCCAAGCGACTTTGTTGTTTATACTGTACAACCTGTCAATTACATTTTAATATTAGTAAAAACGTAAAATCTAATGATAAATATTTGAAAATCCTCGTTGGGAAATTAGCAGCTGTTCCAATAATTTGCTTTTTTATCTACTTAAACTGATGTTTTCCGACAATTAAGAAAACATGCAATATTCTGATGTGGTCGTGGATCAAAACCAACAACTTTGCATACTGGAGTCGAGCAATGTACTACATGAGCCTTGATTGGTTATTACCTTTTCAATATTAGACCAGAATTCTTTAACACATTTAGCAATCTGACTGGCTATTTTCTTCAATTTCTTTCCTTCTTCTTCCTCTGCTTTTTGTTCTTTCTGTTCCATATCTTGGAAATGTTTGGTTACCATTTTAGCAAGCTGAAAGAACATAATTATATGCAACACTGATATATGTATCTGGCTGAAATGCTTGTTTTAAATTCCCTTGGATTATATTTCTATGTTCAGCAAACCACAAAATCTAGTTCAAAACCTTACTTTGACATTTTTTGAAATTCACTTCAAAATTAATTTAAGTACTAAGTTACAAGTGTAAACGACCACAAACTGACTTAAACCAAAACTATAACCTGCCAGACAGGCAGATTGGAATTAATAATGTTCCTCTAATATGGTAAGTGTAATATAAAAAGAAAAGAATTACTCATAAGTTCTACCAATTGAAGTTCATTTAAGAACCTATATTGTTTTATTGCACCCTATAAAAGGTGCAAAAAACTTGAACGATAGAGTGGAAACCGTCATGAAAACAGACATTGAGTTATACACACCTTTCTAGCTGCAACTTTTTTCCATTTCCTCTCCTGCTGAAAATCTGCAGCTAACCACTGCATTTCTTCCAGTAGGTAATCCCAATGACCTTTACACCTCGGAGGTTCATGTACTTTAGGTAACCTTCTGGAGGACCACAATCCATCTTTTCTCAACTCTGCAACTCTATGCATTACTTGAGCCTCCTGAATTTTTAAAAGACATGATTATGTAATGGGTTATAATATACAAAATATTACAAAACACATTTTTGGTTTTGAAAAATTATTCTAGAAAGAGTGAAGATAGTGCATTCGGCAAAACACACTAATCTTGTCAATTATTTTCATTTACAATCAGATAATAATAAATTATGTAGCAGTTATCATTGCCACACCTGACACAGGTAAGACCAGGTATGGAAGCAAAACTACAGATTATTGTTGCCAAAATGACGAAAGAATTGCATTCACTTGGATGCAATCTTGATGTAAATTTGGCTTATATTCAAGTTAAATAATTCTGGTATATCTACACGATTATATGTACAGATTAATCCTTGTCAGTCCACAGTATATGAAATATTTGCAAATTTTCAAAAAGTCCTTTCTGTATCTGGTAATTTTTCATAAATCAAACAGTTAAATGACTTACCTGTTTAGCTCTCTCTACAATAGCCTCTTGTGTTCCTACACTTCCATCGTATACAGAGGAAATCTGTGATGGTCTTGGAGTGGTCAGTGGAGAAACTGGCGGTGACTTGTGACTTTTAACCATAGTGGATCTGCAATTTGATGTGTAATAGTTTGTTAGCTTATTGTGATTATAGGTCTAATCAAATTCAAGAAATGTCAGACAAAGGTTGGAAGGCACTTTATTATTTTTGCTATACTTTGTTATTTACAGGACTTGTGAGTGTTTTACTGTTCCTTTGGTATCATCCCATCTTTTTGAAAATTTAATTATTGCAAATATTTGAAGACCAGGTCTACAGTTCTTTCTACTATTCTTAAAATATTTTGTTTACAAATTTGAGGATAACACAGGCCATGGTCAATTATGTAGCAGTTATCATTGCCACACCTGACACGGGTAAGAGCAGGCATGGAAGCAAAACTACAGATTACTGTTGCCAAAATAAAAAAAGAATTGCAATCACTTGGATGCAGTCTTGATATAAATTTTGGCTTATATTTAATGATAACTGATTTGTGCTGGTCTATTTATTGCACAGAATAGTCCTTGTCAGTTCACAGTAACAAATATAGTTACTGAAAACATTGTTTCAATACCCAATATTTTTTAACAAAGCCTTATGTGTGTGTGTGTGTGCATAAATTGCAGAATAAGATTAAGTGGTTTGACAACTTACAATGCAGGAGAACTTGCAGACTTTGTTATTATAGAAGTGTTAATACTAAGTGGTTTTGTCTCTGTAACAGTCTTTGTCAGCTGACTCTGTAGTTGTGGCATAGTCACAGCTGGTGTTACAGTCGTCGTCACTGAACTGGAAACTGTCAGTGCGGGAGACAACATGGCTGACTGTGTCATCTCTATCAATAGAACAATACGTTATGTTCAAATTGTTTAGGATTCTATACTGCATTTTAACATATAGTATGTAATGTTCCATGTAATGAGTATTTCAAGTTATCTGATGAGTATAAACCACTGAATTTCATGCCAATTCAGTTCATGTCTTCCTGTATTTAAAATTGCCCATCAACCTCATACAAAATCTGGTTTCAACAAGAGGCTGTTGTAAAAAAAATTTGAGTCATCTAATTTTGTAAAAAAAAAAAAGTTTATTGGAACAAGTCAACAAAAATCCTGCTTTTATTTCAAGAAGACTGTTTACTTTAACTTATGTAAATTTGTTATAGAAAAACTCTCAAGGTTATATTAAAATTTTCTTACAATTGGCTAGATGAATTTCGGTTTCAATGATAAAAGAACAATGCACATTTCAAAAGTGGTTAACAAAAAAAATAAACGGTTAAATCACCTCTAGTTAACACATCTATATATAAAAAATATAAATTATTTTTGGTAAATATGACATATTTGCCTTTACAACCTACAGTGAGACAGTAATTGTGTACCTGGCTGAATGACTGATAGAGGAACAGCTATTGGTGACTGTGTTGTCAGATAAGACAGTTGTGGAGGAATGCTGCTCGTGACTATAGACTCAGTGCTGACAGGTGGGGAGGAATGTGGCGTAATAGGCAGAGCATGACCAAACACCATCCCATGTCTACCTCCTTGGCGTTTTACCTCAAAACCTGTTAAATCATCATAGCAATGGGGTTTCCCTTGCATCTGTTAAATAATTATAGCATTGGGGTTTGTCCTATAAGTCATCTCAGAACCAAAACTTGCGTGTGATTTACACAAATAACTGATTGTACATGTTATTTAGAGACAAGAGGAAAATTCTTTTTCAAATACATCAACTGAACCTTTTAAATAAACATCTGATCTTTTTTCTTACATGAAAGTAAAATTTGCCTCTTTTAAATGTATGTAGAACCTAAAAATACAGCCAAATTTTCAACCAAAACATGAAAAGAAAAGGATAGATCTGGTCTAGTAAATATAATTTTGAAGTTCTGAAAAGTAAAAATGGACAGTATAGTAAAATATCAATAGCTAGTTTCAAAACTTAATTAAAAAGGTCATATATGGAGCAAACCCCAACACTGAATTATTTGAATTTTCAGACAAAAATCAATCCAAAACAGGATGAAAGGAAAAGAGCTTTAAACATAAAAGCTACTAAATGACCTAAAAAGCAGTGTAGTCACATTCAGCCAAGCACACAAAAACCACAACATCTATTTATACCTACCAATATACACAATTATGTTTATATATACATTATTCAGGCCTCTATAATAACCCACTCAGTTATATTTCATTAACATCAATGATTTTATTTCACAGGTATTAGGGTTAAAGTGTTTTATCTGGTCAAGTGTGAACATACAACTCCCTACAAATTATCACCTATCAAGACCAACTATAGTTTTATGTTGTCAAAATTGACCCTTAAAACTCGTGAAAAGCAAGTAAAACAGACTATGAATAAAACCAAGTTTAAAATATAATATAGACCATTCCGTCCAACCTAGAATTATACAATTTTTTTACCCTTGGATATGTCGAAACTTTTATCACTTTCTCAACCTGATAAATTTATAGTGGTTGTTTCCTTAAAATTTTCTTTATAAGGGGCAAGACTTTAATTGCATTGTATAAGCAAGCAAAATGCATTTGTGCAAGTGCAGTAATTCCAATATTCAAATCATTAAATTTTAAGGCTATAAAAATCCATGTCACTTAAAAACTGAGTAATCAAAAACAGCCAATGTCGAGACAAATATTTCTCAACATCCAGATCATACTTGTGTTAACTTAAAATATAATGCATAAAATAATTGGAAAGATTAAATCAATGAGAACTAAAAACAGTTATTACATGCAATGCTAGCTAACTTAATTACATTTAAGTCATACTTTAAAAACACTGTAGATAAATATAATACAAATATATTGTTCAGGCTTTGTTTTTACAATTAATTAATTACCCCCGGTTTTTGGTGTAGTCTTTAGTTTTCTATGTTGTGTTTTGTTTACTGTTGTCTTTTGTTTTTTTTTTTTTTTTTGCCATGGCGTTGTCTGTTTGTTTTTGACTTACGAGTTTGAATATCCCTTTGGTATCTTTTGCGCCTCTTTTCTTTAAAGTCACTTTACTTTTTCCAGTTATTCGGTATACATGTACATGTACCTTTATTTATGCATTTTTGGTAAAATTTGTATTGTTTAAAATTTTCAGTTGGTTTAAAAATTATTGATTGATTGATTGTTGGTTGCTTAACATTCAGTGGCAAAAAATTATTGGAACTAAGGTTCCAACTTCCTCACACAAAGAGTTGATCACTGGTGGATTTGACTTCTCTTCATGTTGCATATCTTTTCAAGTATTTATCCATTGGCTTTCAAATTGTTTGTGTATTTCTGATGAAGAGAAATCCAGTAAAGCATGTTGGTACTTGTGTGTTATATTCATATTTAACAAAAGTTTTAAATCTTACACATTTCTGTGTGTATAAATGTGCTGAACTATGCATTATGTATACAGTTACATAGCAAATCTATGATGGTTTGTAAGCTACAAACATGCAATTATATTCATACCAATTGTTTTACATATGTCCTGGATTCATTTACATTTCAAATTACAGTACAAACTTATTTTGAAAATTATCAGAGAAATAAACAGGCCACTGCATGCTGCCCATCATAACCTACCCTGCTGGTTGAGAGCTGCTACAGATGGTGGTAGTGTGGTTGATATTGCCACTGGAGTGGCAATAGGAACATTACTTCCACTGCATGTTAAAACCTTCACCTGAAAAAGATAAGATTGTTGTGAAAAATCATGACATTATAAATATTTCATCAAGAAATTTGGTGAAATCAAATACATTTGTTGCAGTTTGAATTTTTTTTTATTGATCAATGACTGCGACAGTATTGGTTCTAAGCAGGATAACCATACATTTTCCTCATCCCCTTCAAGACCCTACTTCAGAAATAAAACAACACATGGAAGTTTAAGGTTTCACAGGGAGACATCTATTTATTTCAAGTCTGAGAAAAATTCAATTGAACATCTTTTAAACATCCATACCTCATTATTAATTTTTCTTTCTAAACCATGATCTTCTTCATCATCACTGTCAATGTTTGATGATTTCAAGAAGTTCACTAATTGTGGAGTAGGTCTTTTTGTCCATACAAAATAATCCATCATATTGCCCCCATTTTGCAAGAAAAACAGTTCAGACAAATTTTCAATATAGTTCTCTTTGATTTCCAACATTTCTTTAATTTTGTTATCATGAACAAGTTTCCTGTAATTAGCTATTTCAGACGTTGGTGGGGGTTTCTCTTCCACTTTTATTTTCTTCTTTGGTGAGGGACCGGACGAGCTCTGATTAGCCAGAGCTGTTAGGTTTGGGAATGTGGAACTAAGTCCACTGTGAGATTTCGTCTCCATCAAAAGTTTATTAGCAGCAGCAAAGGCAGATGAAGAATGTCCAGTGCTGGATTTTTGTTGATTAGACATTTTATGATAAAGGTTGGTATGCGAGGGTAATGACCCTGTCCGTGGTGGTGTAGGACCATGATGATGAACGGTACCACCTCCTGAGTGTCTACTTGGTAACTCCTGTTTTACTGTCCGAGGCACAGTAGATGGGATCCCTGAGGTCAGACCATAGACAGGTGTGCCTGGAGCAGTATTGGCTGGTGATCCTGGAAGTAACTGTTGACATAATGCTGAAGAAAAATACAATCAAACTCATTGAATATATGAACATGTTCAATATCCATCAACAGGTCTTTTTCTGTGTACAACAATCTGTTTTTTTGTTTACAAGTATTTTTCTTGGTGAAAATATTGTATATTGAAAGTACATTGCCACTTTTCGGTCCCATGATTTTAAAACCAAAAAGACTTGTGTATCTATCGAATAACACCCTGCAGAAGATCACAAGACATAAGTATATAAATTTTTGAATTGTGTCTTTACATATTTGCTTTCGGATTCAAACTTCTTGCTTTTCATGCCAAACTTCAAAATTGCCTCATATTGTGATCTTGTCATTAATATTCATTGATATTTAAATAAGACACTAATATTTAATTTTGCCAAACAATATGACAAAAGCCATTATTGGTCAAATATGTCCTCTTTAACATATTAACAAAGTCACAGATAAAATCCAACCATTTGTTCATGAAAATACAATAGCATCTGTAGTTGGTTATCTGCTCATCCGAACACAGTAGTATACAACTCTGCATTTGGTTTCTATGATCACTAGTAGTAACACTATAGCATCAAATTTAAAAATAAAATGCTCCGCTGAGTGCACCTTGACATGAACGCAGATGTCGAACCCTGAAAAGTTGGGGCAAGTATGGACACAACATTCAAGCTTGATACAACTCTGAATTTGGATTGTGATTAAATATTTGACACAGCAAAGGTTTCTGACACAGAATGAATGTGGTCTAAGAACTTAAAATTTTTTAATTTACCTATTATGGTCCAATATCCATAATCTAAATACATTCACGGTTAGATTCAGCATATCAAAGAACCCCAAAAATTAAATTTTTGTTCAAATCAAACTAAGTTTAATTTTGGACCCTTTGGACCTTAATGTAGACCAAATTGAAAACAGGACCAATAAAATGCTCCGCTGGGCGCAGCTTGATACGACCGCAGAGGTCGAACCCTGAACAGTTGGGGCAAGTATGGACACAACATTCAAGCTTGATACAGCACTGAATTTGGATTGTGATTAAATATTTGACACACCATAGGTTTCTGACACAGAATGAATGTGGTCTAAGTACTTAAAAAATTTTAATTTACCTATTTAAAGCTTTTATATATAAATCAGAAATAACCAATTTATAATGGAAAATTTTAAAGAAACCCCAACCCCAATTTTTTGAACCCCCTAATGTTTCACCTCCAAACTTAATCCCAGGCTTCCCTTTGTGGTATGGTTCCTTGCAGTACAATTTCAGAGAGATCCATACACTTGACCACAACTTATTCTGAAAACTAGAAAAATGCTTGTTTTTTGGCCCCGAATTCCTAAACGTTTAGGGCAATTACCCCCAAACTCAAACCCAGCTTTCCCTTTGTGATATGGAACCTTGTAGTACAATTTCATAAAGATCATACACTTACACACAAGTTATTGTCCTGAAACTAGAAAAATGCTCGTTTCTTGCCCCTTATTCCTAAAATTTTGAGGCAATTACCCCCAAAATCAATCCCAGCCTTCCCTTTGTGATATGGAACCTTGTGGTACAATGTCAAAGAGATCCATACACTTGAACACAAGTTATTGTCTGGAAACTACAAAAATGCTTATTTTTGGACCCTTTATTCCTTTACTGTTGGTACCATAACCCCTAAAATCAATCCCAACCTTCCTTTTGTGGTATTGAACTTTTTGGTAAAATTTCATAGAGATCCATTCACTTAAACTAAAGTTATTGTGCAAAAACCAATGTGTCTTTGACGACGATGACGCCTTTGTCATACCAATATACGACCGCAAAATTTTTTAAGGGTCGTATAATAAGAAGATTTGGTATGTTAGCCAACGAGAACTCTCCACCAGAATGTTTTTACATAATGAGCCATATCTTATCAAAGTATCAAGTGGTATACTGAAGATAACTGATTGCAACATACAACCTACATGTAACACTTTGTTTACCTTGTGCAGTAATTGGAATGCCAGTTAGAATGTCAACTCCAGGCTGCTGTATTTCAGATTTATCTGTACCATCCTGGTGCATCATCTACTACCCTACAAGATAAGTTACATTGTATTTATAAAATATGTCACTTTTTGCAAATAGGTATTAGGCAAATTAAAATTAATTGAAAAATGTTCATCCTCGCCTGCCCAGAATTAAAAATTTTAAAACATTTATGATTTCCGTTACTGGTAACATTGTTGATAATTTTGTAGCATACAAAAATTTCAGTAAGTAGAAAAAAGATCTTAGACCATAATCGCTGAAGAAATATATCAAAAGCCAGGGATCACACAAGCAGACAACTAAAAAGTCGCTTTGACCAAATGTCAAAAGCAATATCTAGTTCCCGGGTTCTCACAATAGATGCTTTCATCATCAACAGCGATTTTTCATTATTATAAGAAAAGAAATTCAAAGACATAATAAAATGCTCCGCAGGGCGCAGCTTGATACGACCGCAGAGGTCGAACCCTGAACAGTTGGGGCAAGTATGGACACAACATTCAAGCTTGATACAGCTCTGAATTTGGATTGTGATTAAATATTTGACACAGCATAGGTTTCTGACACAGAATGAATGTGGTCTAAGAACTTAAAAATTTTAAATTGGACATTCACCTATTATGGTCCAATATCCAAAATCTAAATACATGGTTAGATTCAGCATATCAAAGAACCCCATATATTCAATTTTTGTTGAAATCAAACAAAGTTTAATTTTGGACCCCGATTTGGAACAACTTGAAAACTGGGCCCATAATCAAATATCTAAATACATGTTTAGATTCAGCATATCAAAGAACCCTAAAAAATTCAATTTTTGTTAAAATCAAACTTAGTTTAATTTTGGACCCTTTGGACCTTAATGTAGACCAATTTGAAAACGAAACCAAAAATTAAGAATCTAAATACAGGGTTAGATTCGGCATATCAAAGAACCCCAATAATTCAATTTTTGATGAAATTAAACAAAGTTTAATTTTGGACCCTTTGGACCTCAATGTGGACCAATTTAAAAACGGGGCCCAAAACCCAAAAACTTAATACACGGTTAGATTCAGCATATTAAAGAACCCCAAGAATTCAAGAATAAAACCCCATTGAAATTGATCAAGAAATAAGCAATTTATACGAAGTATCTTCTTTTGCACAATACTGTGCAATTGAATATTTCTTGCTATTGCGCAATACTGTACAATTGACAATTTCTTGCTATTGGATATTTCTTGCTATTGCGCAATACTGTGCAATTGAAGATTTCTTGCTATTGTGCAATACTGTGCAGTTGAAAATTTCTTGCTATTGCACAATACTTATTATATAATAATTTACACATCCTGTTTGGTGTGTATCTCCTACCATATCATTATTATTTGCTTTTAAATATTAATCAGAAATAACCAACTTAAAATGGAAAATTTTAAAAGAAAGAAAATAGGAAAAAAAGAAGAAAAAAAAATCCCCCCCCCCAAATTTTTTGAACCCCCTTATGATTCATCACCCCCAAACTCAATCCCAGCCTTCCCTTTGTGGTATGGTACCTTGCAGTACAATTTCAGAGAGATCCATACACTTGAACACAAGTTATTGTCTGGAAACTAGAAAAATGCTTGTTTTTTGCCCCTTTTTTGGCCCCTAATTCCTAAAATTTTGAGGCAATTACCCCCAAAATCAATTACAGCCTTCCCTTTGTGATATGGAACCTTGTGGTACAATGTCAGAGAGATCCATACACTTACACACAAGTTATTGTCTGGAAGTTACAAAAATGCTTATTTTTGGCCCCTAATTCCTTAACTGTTGGTACCATAACCCCCAAAATCAATCCCAGCCTTCCTTTCGTGGTATTGAACCTTATGGTAAAATTTCATGGAGATCCATTCACTTTAATTAAAGTTAGAGTGCGAAAACCAATGTGTCTTCGGACGACGCCGGACGACGACGTCGTCGTCATACCAATATACGACCAAAAAATTTTTAATTTTTGCGGTCGTATAAAAACTAACATATGAAGACAACAAGGATTTCAGAGGAAATAAAAATTATAAAAGATCAAATCTTCCCCACCTCCCCAAATTTGTTTCCACAAGTTCATACAAGTGACAGAGTTGTCAAGTCACAACTGGAGTTTTGAAAATTTTCATTAAATCAGAGATTTTGTGTTGCGTTGTCGAATCGATTCCTTGTGCATGAATTATTAATTATATATGCCTTATATAGATATAAGAAGATGTGGTATGAGTGCCAATGAGACAACTCTCCATCCAAGTCAAAATTTATAAAAGTAAACCATTATAGGTCACAGTACGGTCTTCAACACGGAGCCTTACATGTATTTGTCATATATATAGCTAATTTGGAAAGGGGGTCTCACACAGATTTTGTAGTTGGTCCTATTAGTGGTCACCACACTTGTAGGAACATATTAAACAGGGAGAGTAAACACCTGATGTGACTTCCGAGATTGCAGGAATATTCTGACAAATTTTATCTAAATTGTCTTATGGAAAACTACATGGTAAAAAGGTATAAAAAGATAAAGAAAGTGTAATAAAAAAAAAAATATTCAGTCACAGAATTTCAGTCATTTCAACCAAATTAAGCCTATCTAGCAGTTTATAAAATCATATGCGTTATGTAGAATCTTATTAAATTAACTTTCCTCTTTTTCAATACAACTAGATATCATTGAGATCGGAGCCATCTCTGTGGGCCCCGCTGTGAATAATGTGTGGTAAAAAATTTGTATCTTTATCATTGGACATGAGGTTGTCAACTGAAACCAAAGTTTTTGACCTTGACCTTTGACCTAGGAAGTTGTACATGAATTATGACACACCCTCTGGCGTTGGTTTATATACATGTCAAGTATAAACTTTGAAATTATAACGGTTCTCAAGATATAAGAGCGGACACGATCTTTACCATAGGACATGGGGTTGTCAACTAAAACCAAAGTTTTTGACCTTGACCTTTGACCTAGAAGTTGTACATACATTATGACACACCCTCTGGTGTTGGTTCATATACATGTCAAGTATAAACTTTGAAATCATAACGGTTCTCTAGATATAGAGAGGACACAGTTTGTTACGGACGGACGGACAGACAATCACTATATGGCGTCCGTATATCAAGTTTTACTCTTTTCTTACTTTAAATGAGATTTAAGATAAGATAAGATAAGGAATGACAATGTTTGTCTGTTATTTAGGTATTCCCCAGTATTTTCCCGCCAAAAGAGATCATGTGACATTGTTGTCAACAAAAGGATCATGTGGTCAGGGAATCCATTTGTTTTCTGGATTACTGCTTTTATTAATGTAGTTAGGATATAAACATTCCATTTAAGGTATAGTCAAACATATGCATTTATAAAATAACTGTAGTTTGCAAACAAGTTTTACTTTTCAAATTGAAGAAACTGGGTCATGATCGTTCATTGGTTGTTACCCTGTTCAACCACGCGAGACCGTGTAAATAATATAGTCAGCTGTCAGTGTACATCCCTTGTGGCAATTAACAATAATTCGACTTCTTAATTGCCACTGAAATGATAATTGGATTAGGGATATCTGAAATTTAACTTCAATCTATTGGGATTTCAAGTGAGGTTGACAATAAAATAAGTATGGCGTTGGGAATTTTAACGTGGTGCTAGAAATTTTAGCGTGGCGCACCGCCATCCTTAAATAGGTTGTGGTGATCCCTGCTCTCAGTCATTATCTATCGACAAGGGCGTTTTTTAACGACCTTGACTACCCATGAGGGTCGTGCACGGTCAGTCATGTCATTATATGATGATGGGGGTTTTTAACTACCTTGACTGGCTATAAAGCCATCACACGGTCGGTTGTCATTATAGAAAGGTCAATCGTGTCTTATAACTTTCAATTTAAGCATTGAAGAGAAGTATAGATCTCTCAAATAATTTTCAAAATAATATTTTCTTATTTCTCCTAAGACATTTAAATTCATTAAATTACCATTCTTATTAATTCTTTGTTCAATTTGTATTTCATTCATATTCTTTTATCAATTTACATTATTTTAAGGAGGGTAACTTAAAACAGTTACCCGAAATTTCTTTATTAATAAAGTGTTTTCAAATTCCAGTCTTCACGATGAACTGCTAAATCTACAGGCCCGGAGCTCAATTTTTGAAAATTTTTAGTTAGATTCTGTTGGCTTGTAGATATGATTTTTACAGGCCCGAGAGCAATATTACAAGCCTGGGCTGCCACTCAGTGTGAAGACTGAAATTCACAAAACTTTTATTACATAACGACAGTTAACCTGAGGTAAAAATTGTTGATTAATACTATGTTTGACACCCAAGCTGTCAAGTGAAGCCATATAATTATTCAAGTTCTTTGATTTACATGTAAAAATTACCTTCATCAGTGACAAAAAACATAATCAATGTTGACATCGATGGTAATAAAAAATAGAGACTGACAATTTTTTGGGGGTTGAAATTTTGATAAAAATGGAAGATTTGAATTATTAACGGGAGGGACTGAAGAGGGCTTAAAAATCGGGAGATTTTGACTCCCACCGGAAGAATCACGTCTGGAAGTTGGATGAAAATCTAATTAATTTTAGTTGGCCTTGAATCATAGCCTAGACCGACTGTTTTTCAGAATACAGAATGTTTTTCACAAATTCCATAAAATTTAAGGTTTCATCTTTTGTTGAGTTGTGTCAGATACCACAACATTTATTATATATCCATTTAAGTGTTCTCATGATGAATATGCATGCAATATTAGCCGCTGGATGTTACTTAAATTTAAAAGCAAAAAATAAACAATTATGCATAAAATCCCAATACGATTTTCAACTTCATTGATCTTTAAAAATTGTTTATGCATGTCTAACCCAAAAGGAAAATTAAAGCACTTACAGTGGTTAGAGAAGGAGATCTCTGTCCCTTTTGATGTATATATCATGTGGTATGTTTTTTGGGGAAAGGAGGGATCAAGTGAATTTGATATAAAGGATTGACAAATGTAGCGTTTTTGCTAACTCGAACCCTTAAGCAGGTGGACCCTAAGTAAAGGAAGGTCCAGGTATCTTTGATCAGGTCTTAACTCTTATTTTGTATGATGAACACATGTCCATTATTGCGTTAGGCCGCATGTTGTCATTGTTGAGCTCCAAGTGCCCCTTTGCCTTTGGTTCATCGAGCCGTTTGGGTTACTGTCGCGTTAACGCATAATATCCTTTCTAAGTTCATTACATATTTAATCACTGAAGAAAACAGTTATAAATTGTCAATCTCGATCAGCTTTAATAAATCATTTTCTTTTCAATGCAATTTTTGTACAGGATAGCATTCCCGGCAGAGAATATGGCGCGCATGCGGTTTCCAGCAGTTACCTTCCCATGAGTCATGGCGTATGGCTCCATTTTCTGAGAAGCTTACCTATTTTTGAGTTACTGTTTTCTAGACAAATGTCCTCCCATCTCAGGCCAAAAACCCTCAATCCAACCTTATCAGCGGTTTATCTACACATTTTGACACAATAGTTAGAACGCCTCAAATTGGATAAGCATATTTTTTCGATGCTAAAATTTCCAAATTTCGTCAAATCTATCCGGCCATTGTGCAAGTTCAACGAGAATGTTAGTTAAGATTGTAGGAGCGCATGCGTGTGACGTCATTTTCCTTATCACATGATTTATTTCTGTAGTAGCCAAAGAAAAAACCCGAATACTTCCGCATGCGTTTTAAGGCAGGAAAACAACTATGGCCGATAAAACACACGTGAAAAATGTGGTTCTGTTGAAAAGCATAAAAGAAAAAGCAAAATCATGTTGCGACAGCCCAAAATTTGCAAACAATATTCTAGATATAATTAACTTTGCTCAGGTAATGAGATTTGATGTGCAGGACATATAGAAGAGCTTTTTTTCTAGAGAATCTAGTTTTAATTTTTATAATTTTAAGAAGTGCTTTCCTTAATTTATAACCACTTTCCGTTTACCCATTTTGAAGAGGTTCCTGCTTTAGCTTATAGGTATTACACTAGCTTATCGTGCAAGGGGTCTCATATTTGCTTTTAACAGGAGTTATTTGCAAGGTTGCACTGTCATTACAATATTGTAGCTAAAATTAAAAAAAATAACAATACTGAAAGTAAGGTATCTTGTCCAAAATACAGTGCATAGTCAAAACCCAGAAATAAAGTTTTTACAGTCTGTTACAACCAAGGAGAATTGTTGAAAACAGGACTTTATTATTTAGGGATAATGTGAAGGTACCCCAATTGCACCTATTTTGACAGTTTTTTCGCCTATGTTTTTTTATGATCCTGACAAAAGTTTCCATTTTGTGTTTATTTTGAAGATGTATCCTTATTAACTATATAGTAACACCAATTTAATTTTGAATCCATATTGAATCATAGAAAAATGGGTTTGAACCGACCTCCGAATGATCCAGGATTCCGTAATGAGTACCCAAATTGCATCCATTCTTAAATTCACACCTTTCAAAATTGAATAACAGATGTTTTTTTCTATTTCTTCAAATAATTAGAACAATTTGAAATAAGTCCATGCTTACTAATCATTTATTAAGAAATGGATGCTTGTAACATCATGAACATATTTAATTTTCTAATTTTTAACAGATGACTTTTTTAGAACTTCGCATGTTGACGTTTCCGTAGATTTACTTTTTCAAGTGAATGCTTCATCTGTTGATATTAACTGTTAACGTTTTGTGTATATTTAAATATATTCAGCTATGTTGAAAGACATGTGAATCATAAAAATACAAATTGATTAGTCTCAAAGAAAACTTGTAAGATTTCCACAGCTATTTCTGTTGAATAGATGCAATTTGGGTACTGTGACGTTATATAGAATTTTTACCCAATTCAATCACATTTTAACTTCTGACAGGACTTGTGAAAATCCATCCATCCGAGCAGCTCACAGGTCCACTAATGTACAACCCCTGAGTCTTTCACCTGGAAACCCTCTAGCCATTTCCTTGCATGTCACCCAGACATGTCACGGTCATCCAATGAACTGCTCAAACCTTATGACCATATCAAACTGCCAGGCACTTACATACACTGGTGTGTATCAGCAGTAGATGCTTGCAGCGCCAGTTTTGTGAAAATCCATGGATGGTACAGCGGGATTCAAACCCTCAATCTCTACATGCTTTAGATCTAAAGGCAGCACTCTAAAACGTCTAACCAATTGAGCCATAGAAGATCTTCCCTAACTCAACAAGTTAGACTACCTTTATATTTCCAGGTCTACAACACAATCACAATTTTTGTTTCTTGTATGCAAGTTCCTAGTTTAAGAATATTGTGGACATAATTCTGATAGAGTTATATATCTTTTGTATATTTTTTATTGTTGACACATATTTGAGCAATTAAGGTCATCTTTGAAACTGGAAAATAAACTAAAGCTGAGCCTGAAATTTTAGATGCAATCTGGGTAAACTTATCAAACCTTTAAATAAACTTATTCTAAAAGGTTTCCAATTCAACACTGTAATTGGACTTTTGAATATTGTTTTTGTTGGTATAAATATTGATTTTCTTGTCAGTTAATTAAAATCATGGGTTTAAACCCACTGCATTTGTTTGCACCTGGCCTAAGTGTTTGTGTGGTTCATAAGTGTTTCTCGTTTCTCGTATTTTATATAGATTAGACCGTTGGTTTTCCTATTTGAATTGTTTTACACTTAAGTCATTTTGGGGCCCTTTATAGCTTGTGTTTGATGTGAGCCAAGGCTCCATGTTGAAGGCCGTACATTGACCTATATAATTGTTAACTTTTTATACATTGTGACTTGGATGGAGAGTTGTCTCATTGGCACTCATACCACATCTTCCTATTTATAAATATTATTGTTATACACATGGTCTAGCATCTGATTATCTGTCTAATAAAAGAGGGACGAAAGATACCAGAGGGGCAGTCAAACTCACAGATCGAAAACAAACTGACAACGCCATGGCCAAAAATAAAAAGACAAATAGACAAATAATAGTACAGATGACACAACATAGAAAACTAAAGACTGAGCAACACAAACCCCACCAAAAACTGGGGGTGATAAATAAATTTACTGCTCGTACTGATCTTTATAATAATTCGCTCAGGTCGACAACATCAGGGCTTCTTCATGTACCAAGACCTAAATTTGATTGTTATGCCCCCGCCGTAGAGGAGGGGGCATTAAGTGTTCCCCTTGTCCGTCTGTACGTCACGAAGTTGGTTTCCATTCTCTAACTTTAGTTTGCCTCAACCAAATGTTATGAAACTTATACACAATGCTTAGTACCACTAAATACAGATCAAGTTTGGCGTCACTTTAACTGTTCTAGAGTTATTTCCTTTTACAAATGGAAAAGTTGCTGAATTTTTTGTTTCCGTTCTCTTACTTCATTTTTGCCTAATCCAAATGTTATGAAACTTATATACAATACTTATTACCACAAAACTCAGATCAAGTACAAATTTGGGTAGCGTCACTTATACCGTTCTTCAGTTATGTCCCTTTAAAACTTTATATGATATGCAAGTGGGGGCATCATCTGTGTCCCATGGACACATTCCCCATTTATTAAATATCAGCTGCAACTTTTGCAGCCTTTTTGAGAAAGTTGAACATACAAGAGATATATACATGATAGTTGATTTAGAACGAATACTGTAAATTCCATTTGCATTAAGTTTTTGTCATTAAGAAGAGTTACCGCTATAATCTTGCAGATACAACTTCTATGTATCATCATATTTTATTAAAATCTAAATTACTGCTTTATATCAAATCAATGTCTTTTTAACATTTGCTTAGTAGACCAACTAAATAACCTTATATGCCAATATTTATTCGTATTTGACATGTTTTTAATTGATATGTCTAAAGTTACACATGGAAGTTGCATACAAGCTAACACAATAAAGATTCATTCATTCACAAGCTATCAAATCATAATTTATCAATATCATTATTATAACGTGAATCTTCTTTTTTTTCCTTTGATCTTTTTATGGAATAAGATAGTGTTAAAAAGTAAAACAACAAAAATACCAAACTCCAAGGAGAATTCAAAACGGAAAGTACCTTATCAAATGGCCAAATCAAAACCTCAAACACATCACATACTAAGTGTGATTCTTTTGTAATTTCTATTAGTATATAGCTTGATTATTTTACCATCTTAAAAATTGTATAATTTGAGGTGGTCCATGATAATGCACTTATACTGCTAAAATATTTGAATTAAAAAACTTTTTAATTAGTCCCCTACCAACGAAGTTGGAGGGGACTTTAGGTTTGCACTCCGTCCGTCTGTCCTTCTGTCAGTCCGGCAAATCAGCTTTCCACACTTTTTTTCTTTGTTCTTGAAGATATTGATTTGATATTTGGTATATAGTTTTATCATGACAAGTTATAGATCAAGTTCAAATTTTGTTCCGGTCTGATGATTTAATCCAGAGTTATGGACCATAACTCTGGACCATATCTAATGTTAGAGTACTATGTTAAACCATATTTCTGTACAAAGGGAGATAACTAATTTTTTAAAAGACATTCTTTGTTCAATTATTTGAAGAATTTTTTGGCAGGTTTGTTAGTTATTTAGTATAAACTAATTTTCTGAATGCTATATATATAAAAAAAATTATGAAGAGAAATCCTTTAATTAGATAATAATCTATTTTTATTATGTATATATTTCAATACATTACATTGTGTAGATAAAAGTTGTTGACATTTTATAGATAAGTTACAAATCTATATTAGTTTGTGACAAATGAAAGAAAAAATATTTGGAACCAGGGCTTCCAAAACGGTCATATATTCCGGACTTGACCGAAACTTTCATAAAAAGACCGGTTGCTCTCAGCCTCAAACGGTCAAATAGAATTGGTGTGCCACATTTTGTTATTCAAGGCATTTTCATGAAACGGTCATTTCAATTTTTACCAACTATCGATCGATAAAAATGTCCGTTTGGGGCTTTGGGCATGTCCGTTTGGGCATTTTAGTTTATAATTGTGGCAATCTATTTCACAAAGATATTTCGGTCATAATTGGGTTTAATAAAACAGAAGCAGCATATTTCAGATACTTTGAAGTGTCTCAGTTAGTCTAATCCTCTGGGTACATAAATGTACGGCTTGGTCTTTAGCTTGTGTACATCAATAAAGAGTAGAAAAAACACATTTTCTTTTATTTAAATAACAACAAGCTGTCAAACAATTATCCCTTCAATAAGTTATATTGAAGCCATAAATCATTCACTGATTACAGGTTTGTTACCTTTGATGAGGTGTCCTTAGCTTGTCTTTATCAATAGAATTAATGATGCATAACAATGCACATAAAGGTAATCAGGTAAACGAGGTCAAACATGTAAGCGTGTATGGAACAACATCCTATTTAATTACGCTTTATAGATATTATTTTAAATGAGCATTCAGTTTAAAAAAGTATCCTGATATTTAAAAGTTATTCTTCAAATAAGGATATTTATAAATGAATAAGTATGATATATATTATTTTATTTAACACTGTACATCGTGTTAAATACTTCAAAAACGTGACTTGTCTTATGCCACTGTGAAACAATTAGTTGACTCTTTTCTTATGGCAATAGAGGCCGAGTACTTAACCGAGATTCCTTCATTTGGACCATTATGTGCCGAATTTCTAAAATCAACAGACCAATCTGACAGCTTCAACACTATCACCTTTAAACGTAACAACCGTGACATTCATCTAAAGACAAGAGCCGTGCAATGTGCCCAATTGATACATGATAACATTCGTGACCGATTTCCAGACAACAAAATTTTCAAAGCATTCTCTGTATTTGAACCGTCGAACTTTCCTTGTAGTGTTGACGACCTTCCTCGCTACGGTGAACAACAGTTAGAGTGTCTCGGAGACCATTATAGTATAGTCAACCAAGAAGAACTACAAATAGAATGGGGCATACTTAAGTATTTGATCTTCAACAACTACAAGGGACTTTCGTTTGCCGATCTGTTGACTGCAATTATTTCAAGAAAAGACCAGTTCCCAAATACAATTTCGCTAATGGATATTTCACGTGTTTTGCCGGTTTCTAGTGTTAAATGTGAAAGGGGTTTTTCAAGGCAGAACATTATCAAGACAAAACTAAGGTGTAGTCTAGGTATTGACGCTTTAGATCAACTTATGAGGATAAGCTTAGTAGGTGTAGATGTTAAAGACTTTGACCCTGTTCCTGCTATCCGCAAATGGCAATTCGTTCGTAACCGCTGTGTTTATCAGAACAATGCATTTAGCAAGCTCATGAATGTAAAATCTTAAATTAGACTAAATGAACTCTAATCTTGTGCTGTGATCTGTGCTTCTTTTCAATGTGCTCATTGTAATATTTATTGCTTGTGTTTGTCAACATTGTGCTCTTCTGATATTTTATTGTTGTTATATGCTTACATAAAATATCATGTTGTTATTCATTAAATTATTTATCAACTGAGTATGTTTTTATTTATTCCTTATTTTCTAAATCTGGTTGGGAAATTGTACAAAGAAAAATGTTATCACTGTTCAGTAGATTTTACACGGTTTAAAACAATATCCTTCATTGGGCCTCCTCAATGTTATCTATAAATACCGCATCAGTTGTAAAAGTCACGTGGTCAGGTAATCAATACACAAAAATAAAAGTATCACGTGTATTGATGATCAAGTTGTACTGCAATTAAAGCCAACATCAACAGTTTCAAATAAGATGGCCTTAATTTACAAAGTGTTAAGTACTCACAGAGAGAAGATAGATTATATAAACAGAAACAAAAACATGAGAACAGTCAGGTACTGAAGCTGATTGATGCAATGATGGTTACTGTATTACGATACACAGAAAAATGACACAATACCGAGGATAATATTTTATTTATTTTTAGAATGAAGAAAACAAAACAGTTATAAATAATTTTATTACATATAACACTACTAATTATTTAGACACATATATCAATTTATGCATCCTCTCAGTTACATTTAAGTATCCAGCTGATCATTGACCGTCAAAAATATTTCTTTGAAAAATGTCCAGCTGTCGTCAGGAAATTTTGGAAGCCCTGTTTGGAACTATTAATTATATTTGATTATAATTTGAAATTAGATATACACTGTATTACATCATATCTAATTTTAGAGAACTTTTAATCATATCTAATGTTTTTTTCATCATGCTTATACGATATTGATTGATAATTGGTATATAGCTTTATCATGACAAGTTACAGATCAAGTTCAAATTTTTGTTTCGGTCTAATAATTTTGTGCAGAGTTATGGTCCTTGGACTTGAAAAATTCACTCATATAATCAGTTTTCCACACTGTTTTTAGTCATGCTTGAAGATATGGACATGATATTTACTTTTTGTTTACACCATGGCAAGTTATATAACAAGTTAGCATTTTGTTCCAGTATAATGAATTTTTACCTGGTAGGGGACTATGTATTACCATGCAATACTCTCAGAATGCTTGTTTTAAGCATGTTTAGGGGGGGAAATTAGAGGATAAGAGAAGACAAACCAGTCACAAACACAACATAGAAAACTGACTGAAATACAGACTGAGCAACATGAACCCAACCAAAATCTGCTATGGGTGATCTCAGATGCTCCAGAAGGGTAAATATTAGGATAAGCAAATGAAAAAAGAATATATACATGTTCTGTTTTTGGTAATTTCAGACAGAAGATAAAAGTGTTCTAACAGCTTGTGTTAAAGCATTTCATAGGATCTTTATACAGTTTATTGGAAATGGAGAACTCTACACGTCACCTGAAGTTGATGATGGTATGACAACTAATGGTCCAAATGTCTTTGGATGATTAACATCCAAAATGTCATAGTTCTGATGATTGTTTATTGATTCCTGTTTTAATTCAAGTATTTATTTCATATAAGGTTTAATGCTTCTACCTGTACATATTTGACAGTCTATTTCAAAGAAAGTAGAAGTGACAACTGTAGGTCACTGAAGAACCTTCAACAACGAGCAAAACCCATGCTGCATAGTCATGACAGTAAACTACAAAAGGTCACAAAATGACAAATGTAAAACAATTCAAACAAGAAAACTAACAGCCTGATTTATGTACAAATCAATGAGCAAAAAACAAATATGATATACTGCAACAAACCACAACTACTGAATTACAGGCTCCGAACTTGGGACAGGCACATACAGAATGTGGCGGGGTTAAACTTGTTTGCTGGCGACAAACCCACCCCCTAACCTGGGACAGTGGTGTAACAGTACAACATAAGAACAAACTATAATAATCAGTTGAAGATTATGTCTGTTTGTAAACCTTGCTGTATATGACTTTGTTACTTACTCATTAATATATATATATATATATATACCAATAATCATATTACTTATGTATCAATCCTCTAACAAGACCAACGATTTTTGTGAGGGGAATCAACATTAAAATAATCATAAGGAAAACACATCTGGTGAAAGAAAAGTTTTTAGTATGAAGCTTCCTACTAAGGACTAAATATTTCACCTACATTAATAATGTGATGTTGCCGACAGCTCCTCGTGTAGTGTTGTGGATCTGTGCGATTCATCACGACAGTTTATTATGTCAGATGTATATATCACCTTGGTAGTTCTGTCACATGATAGGTTATCAGTTTTTAGAAGCATTTTACATTATCTCATTCTGTATTAATTCATTAATGCTTGTTGTTATTCCAGAGTCTAAGGAAGGGAAATATAAGATCTGGTTAAACCAGCGATATAGTGATGTTTATGAAAGACTTACAGAATTATTACTGTGTAAACATGCTACAGTTAAAGTAAGTGGAACGATACTTCTGGAATGGTCAGTTCTATATTGTATTTACCATGTAACAGTCTAATACATCCACTTCATTTGAACTTTGATGGATAGTTGTCTCATTGGCAATCATACCAAATCTCTGGTGGATAGTTGTCTCATTGGCAATCATACCAAATCTCTGATGGATAGTTGTCTCATTGGCAATCATACCAAATCTCTGGTGGATAGTTGTCTCATTGGCAATCATACCAAATCTCTGGTGGATAGTTGTCTCATTGGCAATCATACCAAATCTCTGGTAGATAGTTGTCTCATTGGCAATCATACCAAATCGCCTTATTTTTATATAGAAATATTTTATGTATGTATCTGCTCTTTCTAACATACTGTGGACAAATGGTGGCTTCATTTGTGTGGACAAATGGTGGATTCATTTGTTTTCATGGATATTTGATTTTGTGGTTTTTGCCAAGTTTGCAAATGATATATATAGAAAAAATATACTTCATTGAACATTCAAATTGTTGTTCACCTTTACCAACAAATCCCACTAAAATTGGTATCCCACGAATAATAATGATTCCCCAGGCACAGTGATTATAATATACACTACACCTCAGTTTGATTTGTCATTTCAATTTATCTGCTGTGAAAATTTGTGCAAAGTGGGGAAAACTTCTGGTTGGTTCCCAGTGCACAGGAAAAAGTTTAATGTGGAAAACCTCTGAATCTCACCTGTAATGATCATAGCAATACTAATTATATCTTTATTAATAAAAATTCATTATAGTTATCAAAAATATATTATCTAAAAATTACCAAAGAATTATTTCCTATATAACTTCATACAACAGTTAAGTTTACATCAATGAGACAGCACCTGACAAAACAAATAGACAAAATTTAATAGTTTACTATCCATTATAGATTTTGCTTATTGTTGTAGGCTGTACAGTGATCTATACTTGTTAACTTCTGCGTTATTTGGTCTTTGATGGAGAGTTGTCTCATTGGTAATCATACCACAACTTATTTTTTTATAAAAGACACTGAGATATCAACAAACAGGCTGTTCCTTGTGATTCACTGACTGGGAACTAAATTTCCAATATAGTAAAGAGATAAACCTTGAATTTTAGTACATATGTGCTCGAAGAAAACTACTCTCAATGTTACAATTAATACAATCAACTATCCTAATAACAGGAATATTATCCTAATAACAGGAATATCATCCTAATAACAGGAATATTATCCTAAAAACAGGAATATTATCCTAATAACAGGAATATCATCCTTATAACAGGAATATTATCATAATAACAGGAATATCATCCTAATAACAATATTATCCTAATAACAGGAATATCATCCTAATAACAGGAATATTATCCTTATAACAGGAATATTATCCTAATAACAGGAATATTATCCTAATAACAGGAATGTTATCCTAATAACAGAAATATTACCCTAATAACAGGAATATTATCTTAAAATCAAAGAATAGGCAAATGAATACTCCAGAAATGATATTAGAGGTTAAAGGGCACTTTTCTAAATGATAAAACGATCATTTAACATTTTATGAATGTTATGTGTTTATAAAATGTACTTTCTGATTAATTGATATATTTGTGTACTGATGGATGTTTCATATATTTTTTAGGAGTTATCATTAAGTACATTGATGAAGTTGGTTACAGCAGAAGGTCATAACCCTATCACAGCAATTACAGCAAAACAGTCACATTTTCCTATACAGAGATTTCAGGTAAATTCTATGACAATTAAGCACAGTTGATCAAGTTGTCGCATTTTCCTATACAGAGATTTCAGGTAATTGTATGACGATTAAGAACAGTCTTATTTTTCTATACAGAGATTTCAGGTAAATTGTATGACGATTAAGAACAGTCTTATTTTTCTATACAGATATTTCAGGTAAATTGTATGATGATTTAGTACAGTCTTATTTTTCAACAGAGATTCCAGGTAAATTGTATGATGATTTAGTACTATAGCTAACTATATGTAAGATTATTTATTGTCAATTATTGAATATAATAGGATAAGGCACAATATTACATATTTTGATCATTGTTGAACAAGCTATTTTATAGCATAAATCAGAGGTTTTCCAAAAAAAAAAAATAATTGATTGATAAGCATGTTTGTTCTTTAAATTATTTTTAAGAGGAATTCAGAAAGAAAAACACTTGTTGTCACTTTTTGAAAATGTTAATTTCAAATCGTGTGCGATTGTTTGTGGTATTTTCATGGAGAAGGCCGTTTTCCAGCATCAAGTTGCTGTTGGAAATGCATATATATGATTCAAGAACACTTAATGAGTGTTAAAATATGACAAAATCACAAAAAGTAACATCAGAAAAGTTATATTTGTCATAACTGGAAATTGAATAAGTATGTGTAAATCGAAAACAAATGCAGAGCGAGACGCAGCAGAAAATTTGTACTAAATAGTTTACAAAAATATACGACTTTGGAAGTAAAACAGTGCCGTCCTTAAGCAAATTAATGTTATAGTATTCATCAAAATATTGTTTAAAGGACCTTTAGCTATTAAAACAAAGCACATGCAGCAGTCTGTAACACCAAATCCTGAACAAAAAACCGACTATGTTTTGTAGTTTATACATCTTTGTTCTGGTTCTGAGCTGACTACTAAACTTTGTACGTAGTTAAAATACAAGCGGATTCCAGTTTACATTATGCAACATTTGAAAAGAAATGAAATTTTTAATGAAGCATCAAGTTTTGATATCTATCATAAAATATCAGATATTAAAATTAAAATTGCATATCAATATGGATTAGTTAAATGATAAGAGTTTTGAAAAGAAAAAAGGGCACCCTCTACAATTTCAATAACAAAGAAGGCAGACAATAAACAAACATTGCAAAATTGAGTTTTTTTCTTGTTTCTTGCTTATAGTACATCCTGTCTTGCAATTCTAACGTTGGAGTATAATTCCGCGGACAATTCAATTCTGAATTCGGGGATAACATGTTATGTATTTTGTCGACTATCGGGTCGTTTACGTTTGGATCAAGTATTTTTCAAAAATCAAGAGGCAACATTTGGGAATTTTACTGAAAATCGAGGGCGACATAAACTTCTCCCTGGAGCTACTCTAGAGCGAAGTGGGGAGTCCTAGGGTTACATAGTCGCTCACTTCTCCTGGTGTGGTGACCCCTGACCAAAAGAAAAGTTTAGAGAAAACCATCAGTGCTGCACAAACACTACACATAAACACTAAGATTGGGCATTATAAACCCCACCAAAAACCTCAGGTGAACTTAATATATATATAGGTTCTACTAAAAGTGTTTTTAACCTCTATTGAATAAGCATTCCAAGCATGGAATACTGATAAAAATTGATTATATGGTATAATCATTACTCATTTAATAATAGTGGAGGTGATTAATTAGGTCTGTTCCTAGATATCAGAAAGTGTCAGAAAAGTTGTAAAATTTTAATCACTTTATTTGTTGATGTCTTTAGATATTATGAAAACCTATACTAGCTATTTTTCGGTTTTAACGTTTATAACTACATTTTCTGTATTTTCTCCAGATTTATTTTTATTTCTTTCATAGGAAATAATGAGAGGATTGATATCTGAAGATTATAATCACAAAGATTTAATATCAAGATTCCAGGAGTATTTAGATTATGATGATGTTAGGTTTCATGTTCTCAAGTTCCTCATCAAAGACATTAAAGAAAAGAAACAACAGGTAAACAAGATTTCCCTTAATGGTGGGTATGAAACAAGGGAAGACATCAGGGGCGGATTCAGGCGGGGGAGTGGCGGGTGTGCGCCCCCCTAAAATTTGCAAAGCATGGTTTGTCCTCAGCTTAACAAAAAATATTTCGATAATTTTACCTAAAAAAAATTTAAGTTTGCGCCCCCCCCCCCCCCCCCCCCCCCCCCCCCCCCCCCCCTAACCTAAAATCCTAGATCCGCCCCTGGACATACACCTTATCGCTGTTTAGTCCATTCCGGAAAAAAAACAGTCATTTAGACAACTTCCCGTTTGGGTCAATTGTCGCAAATCAAAGATCATCAGTAATGAGCTGAGGGAGAAAAACGTGTAGAAAGTGATCATTTTGAAATTTGTATAGTTTATGAACTAATTTTTTAAACACAAATTAAAGTAAGAAAAATGCTTTGTTTGAAGTGCTTACAATAGTTTAAACATAACTCTTTGAATTTTTTTATGCACAGTACATTGTTTAAACAGGGCCCCAGATAGCTTCAATTGGTTTGAAAGAGTTGTGCAATTTCAGAACTTATCCAGAATGGAATAAATAGCGACAAGGTGTATTGTTCTCTCGATGTAGGTAGGTCCTTTTTGGTTTTATCAGCTCTTGAAGTTTTTATTAGGAATTGGATTTTCAAATATTAAGGCCTCAAGCATCACTAAAACATTATTTACCCAAATGTGCTTCTGGAACAGAAGAATTGGTACTGTTAATGTTAAAAGAGAATGTGCAACTTATTTCACCAAAAAAAATGTTTATAACCTATCAGAGAACTCAATGTAAAGTTAAACTTTAAACGGATGAAATAAGTGTAGGATCCCACGTAACTATTTTGGAGCAGTTATGTGATAAAAACATTTCAATTGTCAAATTGGCAATTATACTGCATTTGCTTATTTTGATACGACTGCAAAATTTCATATATTGGTATGACATTGGCGTCGTCTCCATCGTCCAAAAAGACACATTGGTTTTCGCACTCTAACTTTAGTTTAAGTGAATGGATATCAGTTAAGGAAAAGGGGGCCAAAAATAAGCATTTTTGTAACTTCCAGACATAACTTGTGTGTTAGTGTATGGATCTCTCTGACATTGTACCACAAGGTTCAATATCACAAAGGGAATGTTGGGATTGATTTTGGGGGTAATTGCCTCAAAATATTAGGAATTAGGGGCCAAAAAAGGGGCAAAAAACAAGCATTTTTCTAGTTTCATGATAACAACTTGTGTGTAAGTGTATGGATCTTTCTGAAATTGTACTACAAGGTTCCATATCACAAAGGGAAAGCTGGAATTGAGTTTGGGGGTAATTGCCCAAAACATTTAGGAATAAGGGGCCAAAAATAAGCATTTTTCTAGTTTCCAGACAATAACTTGTGTTCAAGTGTATGGATCTCTCTGAAATTGTACTGCAAGGTACCATACCACAAAGGGAAGGCTGGGATTGAGTTTGGGGGTGATGAATCATAAGGGGGTTCAAAAAATTTGGGGGACGGATTTTTTTTTTCTTTAAAATTTTCCATTTTAAATTGGTTATTTCTGATTTATATATAAAAGCAAATAATAATGATATGGTTTGAATAGGTAAATTAAAAAATTTTAAGTTCTTAGACCACATTCATTCTGTGTCAGAAACCTATGCTGTGTCAAATATTTAATCACAATCCAAATTCAGTGCTGTATCAAGCTTGAATGTTGTGACCTTACTTGCCCCAACTGTTCAGGGTTCGACCTCTGCAGTCGTATCAAGCTGCGCCCAGCGGGGCATTTTATTATAAAGTTAATATTTTGGATGAGTGTACCAGAAAAGACAATACATGCACAGGATATCCTTTTCAATATGAATAAAAGCAACATAATTACTATAAAAATATAATGAAAATATGATTCTTTCAGCAATACAGTGATGAATATTTGAATAATATCTACGCCATGTTAGAACAGATATCATTTCCATTGATTGATAATGAAGTGCTGTCAAACTGCTTATGTAAAGCACCAGGTAATACATATGTAGAAGTTGTAGTCTAGACAGTGAGTAAATGAGACACTTTAGATAAACATCTTCAGGCATAAACTATATAGTGTAGTTTATATTCCCCTTTTCTTGTCTTTTAAACTTTGGTGGATAGTTGTCTAATTGGCAATCATGTATGGGTAATCCTTTCTTATTTAATATCCCTTTGCACTTAGGTCAGGCTTTTCTTAATACAAAATAGACTTAAGGCTTGGTCAATCTGCTTCCAATTTGACTGAAAAAAGTTTACTATGGTAAAGGATGAATTTTTTTAATCTCAAAGTCAAAAGTTGGTCAAGGGTCAAAGTCAAAACTTTGTGAACACAATACCAGTTAAATAGTCAATCATTATCAAACTTGGAAAGGAAAATCACTTTGCTAAAGTAAACTTATTAATTTTCAGTATGAGTACTCCACCAATAAAAACTGGCTTCCCATAATATAGCCAAGAGTGCTGAAAGTGGTGTTAATCACCAACAAATAATCAATCAATTTTCAGGAGCAGTGGTCAAGTTTAAGTCAGTTGTCGAGATCAGAACATGATGCTGTTCTAGGAAACAGTTGTTCTTGGCACTCAGGGGAGACTCTGGGTGCTATTGTTTTGGTATTCAAACAATGTGCTGTGTAGAACAGTAAAAACAAAAAATTGAAATTTCAAAGCTTTAAATCCTGCCTTTGGTAGAAGCAAAAAAAAAAAGCAACAACAAACAAACATCACCTTTGAGATGTGCTCCTTATAGCCGATAATTGCTCCCATTTATAAGGCAATCTCACTTGTTTTACCAACACATCATCTTTGTGGCAATCTCACTCGTTTTACAAACACATCATCTTTGTGGCAATCTCACTTGTTTTACAAACACATCATCTTTGTGGCAATCTCACTTGTTTTACAAACACATCACCTTTGTGGCAATCTCACTTGTTTTACAAACACATCATCTTTGTGGCAATCTCACTTGTTTTACAAACACATCATCTTTGTGGCAATCTCACTTGTTTTACAAACACATCATCTTTGTGGCAATCTCACTTGTTTTACAAACACTTCATCTTTGTGGCAATCTCACTTGTTTTACAAACACATCATCTTTGTGGCAATCTCACTTGTTTTACAAACACATCATCTTTGTGGCAATCTCACTTGTTTTACAATGACATCATCTTTAAGACAATCTCCTGTGTTTTACAATGACATCATCTTTAAGACAATCTCCTGTGTTTTACAATGACATCATCTTTAAGACAATCTCCTGTGTTTTACAATGACATCTTTTAGTTAATCAAAACTTGAATAAGAAAGGCTACTGCTTTGTAAAATTTTATATATTTTTTTGGCAATTGGTATGTACATCTTCAGTGTGTATGAAAGTTGTTTATCAAACAAGAGAATAAAAATATATAAATTATCCAAGTAATGTTCTTCATCTACATATGGAGTACTTAGTAGATGAACATCTAAGGTGGCAACCTTAATTATTTCATTGGTAAAGACCTCATGGAAAACAAGACTTTTATTTGACAGGTGTTAATGGTCATCTCATATAAAAGCAGCAGCACTTCTGTACAGTTGATATCTTCGAATCAGTCAATGAAAACTACATAAAATAATAGAGATGTGGGATGATTGCCAATGAGAAAACAATCCAACAGTCTAAATGAAGTAGATGTTAGCAACTATACATGTAGGTCACATATGGCCTTCAACAATGAGCAAAACCCATACCGTATAAGTAAGCTATAAAAGGCCAGGACAAAACAAGATGTTTCATAAACCAATTTATGCCATTGATACACAAAACATTTCCCACAATTTTTTAGCATCACAATGGAGAAATAGTTATGTCATAGACCAAAAGTGATTGTTTTTGCATGCTTCATTTAATGATCCTATTGCAAAATTGTGTACAGTCATCGTTAAGTTCTGGCACTTGAATTTGGTACGTTGTATCATCAACTGCAAAATAGTTTTGGATTTTGACTCTAAATAACTGTTTAACAGATTGTTTGATTTGGTTACATTATCTTTTTCAGACGATTTGTCAGTATTTAAAGTAAGCAGTTTGAAAGAACAAAAAAAGTTGTTTTCTAGTGCCTGGGTGCTGTTTCTACAGTTCAAAGTAAGAGTCATTACACTGATATATATGTATTTAAAACAAATTAATTGTACATAAATTAAATTTCACAGCACACAGAAACAAGCCTTCAAGTTCAATCTACCACCATTGACCACAGCAACATAATAAATATGATGTAGATTTCACAAAAACGTCTGAACTTTAATTAATTTGGAACATTTGTTGTTAAGGTTATTAGACAAAACTGAGTAAAACTATTTGCAATGTAAAATTGATGGATTGATTCTAAAATTTATCATTTCTCACTTCCTTCCATGTAATTTATTTCTTCAGAATTCATTGTATAACCTCTATACTATTTACAATACAGTGATTGCAGTCTGTAAGACAAGGCCCAACAATGGCAGGTTGCCATAATTGCATTTCACAATTTTCTAGGTTTGGTTTTTTTTTACTGAGCTAAAAATAGATATCAAAATTAAAAACTGTACCAGTCATAAAATTCTCATTTAATTATCCATTAACTTATATTACGGTTAAATGCACATGATTTATATCAGATGAGACGTTTATATCTTATCTATGTCCACAAACTACACGTTTTATCCTTTATTCCAGTTGACGTCAAGTTTATACAGAAGTGTTTTAGTGATATTACATGACAAAGTGATGCCTTATATGACTAATCCATTGTTGTTATCAGATTTCCTCACGGAGTCTTACAATGTTGGTAAGTAGGCAGATGTTTCTTTAGGAAGGACAACTCTTCCTGACAGTTAGAATAATCTAAAAGGGGTGTTGCTTAGTAGAATCTGTGGAAAATGAAATAAAAAAAAAATCAGGGAGTCATGTGTAGAATATATAAGATTACAGGGATTCCCAAAAAATATGAGAGTCTTAATTATATGACGAGATATATATAGAACATATGGATTTGGATGTTGATTTACCATGGTTGTTTTCCCTTAGCATATTGAACTGGGTTGTACAACATACAGTTGTTAAGTACTGTAATTAAGAAATTTGACTCGCTCAGACTTAGCATCTGCTTGCAGAAAAAAATTTAAAAAGTGATAATAGGATTTACCAAATATATTGGACATAACAACAGATCACTCCAACCAACAACACATGATTCTATCAAAAAAAATATTGCTCAAACAACAGCAGACAACACATGCTCCAGACAGCAAGAGTTGGTACAGGCAAAACACACCAGAAAAAACCTTTCACAAATTATATACCTTGTTTCTAATCATTAAATTAGTATTCTTATACAAATGGTCCAGACAACAAGAGTTGGAAACAGGCAGAACACACCAGAAAAAACCTTTCACAAATTATATACCTTGTTTCTAATCATTGAATTAGTATTCTTATACAAATGTTTGTCAAAGATTTAATAAGCACATACATAAGTATTGAATCCTTGTTTATCTTGTAATGAAAAGGATGTCATATGTAAACATTTAATTCATGCCATGTTTTGTACCTAGAAATGATAGAAAAAATAAGAGTTTAGACAGATTTTTGCTATGATTTTGACCAATAAAAGTTTATTTTAGTTATATGGGCTGTTTTCATATAAACATGCATGAGACGCAGGGGACGCATTTTTAAATCTCCACTATGGCTGGTTATTTACGATTATTTTGCACAGTGAATATGTAAGAGACACTCTAAATGGTTACCCCATTTTCATAGCGCCTTCTCTAAGTACCATGTATGTTCAAATGGAAAAGCTCTAATTTCCTTTTCCTTTTTCAGGTGGTGCAATAAGTCTTCTAGCTTTAAATGGATTATTTATTTTAGTACACAAATTTAACTTGTAAGTATAACAGATTTTCTCTTTGAAGTACATAGTATAAGTTCAGTAAAAACTTTAAACCTTACTTTCATATTTCTGATTTATGCAAGAAGAAATTATATTTCCATGTTTAAAGAATAAAAATATACACGTTTTAAATACAGGAAAATAATGGAAAAAAGACGTGAAGGACCATGTAGTATTTGTTTCTTAAACACTCGGTGGCTGAGTTGTCTGAGTAGTCTAACTCTGTATCACTAGCCTGTCAACACTGAGGTTGTGAATTCGAATCCCGCTTGGGGCAGGTGCACTCGACTCCAATCTTCATTGACTAGGATTGTCAGTTGTTCTCTTCGGGCACTCTGGCTGCCTCCAACAATAAAAACTGACCGCCAGGAAATAGCACAATTTTTAACAGTGTATCATCTTTTATAGTGTTAATTTGCACTTATTAATAACCTGATTGCAAAACTTATAATTTCAGAGATTATCCTGAATTCTTTACCAAGCTTTATGCCTTGTTTGAACCTGGTGTTTTCCATGCTAAATATAGAGCTCGATTCTTCTTTTTGGCAGATCTTTTTCTTACCTCCAGGTAATTATAAATAAAAATTATCAGTGTTGTTAAAAATCCTGTTCTGTGTTCTAGACTTATAAGGTAATTTAGAACTTGACTTGTGGTGCAGAAACCTTTGTAGTGATGAAGACAGTATGTTGACCTCTAGATGTTTGTTTCTGGTTTCATTTTGTGGTAAGGTTGCTGTCTCATTGATGTATTACCCATATTTTCATTGGAATCTATAAATTTGGAATAATGACAACAATTTTATTCTAGATATATTTTGACCTTAAGATAAGCATTGTACAATTCTTACTAAAATTGGAAAAAGTCACAAAAGAGGGGGCAATAAAAAAACACAAATCTATTAAAAACAGACAATACCATGGCGAAAATAAAAATTACAAAAAGACAAACATTAGTCCAAAACACTACAATCAGAACACTATTCCCACCAAAAACCAGGATGAAATCAATTAATGAAATTGACATATCTATACGATTAGCTTTAAAATTTGAGATCAAAAGGGGAAAAAAACAGACAATTCAGACATTTTGATATATACAGGTTCACAATGGAAACAGGAGATCCAAGTAATGTTAACAAATAGGTTCATTTGCAGGAGGAACCTTATAAAAATGATTCATCTTAACAAATGTTAATTTATTTTGTAGATGTTACTATAAAGTTTCTTAGATCATCTAATATCATATTTATAAAGCTCCTTTGTAGAGAGGTGAAAAATATTTGTATTGATTGGCATAAAACAACAGAAAACATTTTATTTGATTAATTTCAGTCATTTACCAGCCTATTTAGTAGCAGCATTCGCTAAAAAGTTATCTAGATTATGTTTGACTGCCCCTGCACCAGGCCTCACAATAGCTGTACCATTTATATACAACCTTATTAATCGTCATCCTAATTGTAATGTATTAATACACAGAACAGACCGATCTACAGGTAAATATATTTTAATTTGTCCATTAAAAAGACTACCAATACCTTTGAAATATAAAAATTATTCTCAAACAGATGGATAATGAAGTACTGCAATGAAAGTTGATATTTTCTAGAGAACCAGAAATAACTGATTTAAGGAAAACAATTTTGTTATGTTCCCAAATGTGTGGTTTTCAACTTTTAAACACTTAAGACAAACTTAAAAGTTCAAAGTAAGAATATGAATTGGATATATTGTAATAGGAGAGATAGGTTTGATATTTTAAGTGGTGTTAAAGAATATTTGTTTATAGACCCAACTTGATAAAATTTTGTATATTGATAATGAAATTGAATTCAAGTTTTAATCAGGAACAGCGGTTATATGTCTTGTAGATTTAATGTTTAGCACTCTAGGGAACAGAAAATATTGTAAAAAGAAAAATGTAACATTTGAATATTATACTGTTCATATAATGATTAAAATATTTTGTGTACATGTAACATCACAAATTGTCAAGAATTTTGGTTATATGATGGTAGAAATGCCTGACCTAATCCCTTGGCTAAATGTATGAATCATCCTACATTTCTGTAGATTCATTATTTTTCTTTGGATGCCAATTTTCCTGGATACAGGTGGAGCACAAAGTTCAATGAATAACAAATTTTCTATAAGGTTGTATGCAGACTAACAAATATCCATGTTATCCTCTATCCACTGAAATTGGTATCCACAAAAAAAAATGAATCCACACAATGCCAGTAGTCTGAAAATTTTATATATTACCACATTGAAATCTGTAGTTTATTTATAACATGCGTTTATTGTTTACAGAGCTGTCAGCTGACCCCTTTCTAATGAATGAACCAGATCCATCTAAGTGTAAAGCTTTAGAAAGTTCACTGTGGGAATTAAAGGTAATGTTTCTTCCTATACCAAGGAACAATGTAAAGTTTGGACTTTGAACCTTCACTGATTGTTTGACTAACAGTAGAAAGACATTGAACACGTGTGTCATTGTGTTAGTCAGAAGGGTTCAGTAAAGATTAATTGAGTTATTGGTGTTTAATGCCACATTCAGCACTATTGGCTATTTTGTGACATCAGTTATTATTGGTGGAGGAAGACAGAGTGCCTGCAGAGAACCACAACCTTCAGTAGGAAAACTCGCATTCCTAGTCATTAAAATTGGAGTTGATCACACCTGCCACATGTGGGATTAGAACTCACGACCTCAGTTTTGACAGGCTAGTGATACAGTGGTTCTGCTAATTAGACCACTCTGTCACCGAGGCCCTGGGGTCAGTAAAGAATTGTAATACCGTAGAAAGGCTTGTATAGTCCGCGGTTTTATTCTCCAAAATTGGACCTTCCAGACGGGGTGCGGACTATAGAGTACAATAAGCAAGAAATAAGAGAAAAATTTCAATTTCGCGGGCGAGGTAGTTTGTTTACGTTCCGCCATCTTTGTTATTTATATTGTAGAGGGCGCTCTTATCATTTTTCAAACTAATAATTTTAACTCATCCATATTAATAAGTTATTTCTATTCAATATCAAATTAATACTGATAAATATAAAAACTAAACCTTTCATTACAAATTTCTCGTTTCTTTTCAATGCATTGGTTGAAATAAACTGGTATCTGCTTGATTGAAACGATACAAACATAGTGAAAAAGACAACCGTAAACCAGCTTAGAATTTGTAAACTACAAAACGTAATCGGTCATTGTTCGTTCCGTTTTGGTGTTTCATACTGACTATTATGGTTTGTATTAGCTTAAGACCCTTCAAACATTAATGTGATAGATATATTAAAGACTGTTTTACAAAAGGATGGAACTGTTTTACTTTCAAAGTCGTATTATAGTGATATCTGTTAGTACGGATTTCGACTCTCACCGGTTAATTTCTTCTTTTACACGTGCTTTTTAAACTTCCTGTTTAAACATACACAAGTTTCTAAATTGTTTCCAAAAGGCCAATATGTCTTTCATTTACAAACACCATTTATTAATTTATTTACAGTATTGTTCATATTTTTTAATAACTAAATAGAGCTTCTGTGACATGTAAAGGGAATTTGGATGGAACAGTTAAAATAAGATCAATTAATTTTAATATAAATCAAGATAAATGACTGTCCATTTTTGTCTTCTAATCATTTTGAAGTATTAAGGATCTTAACCACTCGTGTCAAAATAACATTTATGTTTAGATTCCAAAATCATTTATTTTTTTGTATATTTATATATAATTTATTTATTTACTTTTAAGACTCTGCAGACTCATTACAATCCAGATATAAGTAAGAGTGCCAATAGGATAGAACATCCATTACAGACATCAGAAATAGATTTGTCAGATCTGCTGGAAAATAATTATCATCAGGTTTGTTAAATTTCATATACATTGCATGTTTTTTTATCATCCAAATAATCATGTGAGTTTTTAAGTATCTTTTGGGCTTTCTTGTCTTCATTGAATATTTCAATGTATTCTCTGAACTATTGCAGCAAATTTTTGATTCATTAATGTACAGTCATAGGTTTTAGATATTGTGTGCATTTCTCTCCAATTGACAAAATGTTCGCAGAATTATGGCCCTTTGAATAAAGGAAAATTCTATTTTGGACTTTATTTGTAATGCCAGTAGATCTGGAGGTAATTTTTGGTACATTTGAGTATGACCATGGAATACAAAGTTAGTTCTATACAGGTTAAAATATATACTTTAGAAGATTATTAGTTGAAGTTAACAATTTTTCTTTGTTTTTCCAGTTATTTGAAAAAGAGACCAGGAAGAAAATAAAGATAGCTCCAGTGACATTTATACCTCCAAAAGGATTGTTAGTGACAAACGATGATAAAATTGGATTATGCTGGACAATGGACTAAATCAATAAAATTATTTTTTATTTGCATAAAATTTTTTAAGCTCACAGATGCCCCCAAAACCCACCAGCTGTTACAAATTGTAACTCCCTTAGAATAATGTTGATTTAGTAGAGACTCTTTAGAGAGTAATATTTGAAAACAAACTCTATATTCTTAGAGTATTAGTTGATAGTGTTAAATCCACAAGATAACAAGTTAAAGCAATTTGAATGGTATAACAGGTGGAGGAAGCTGGAGTGCAAGGAAAGAACCACCTACATTCGGCTTCAAAAATGGTATTACTAATCAATTGAAATTGGAGTCAAACGCACGTGCCAAGTGCAGGTTTTGGAACGCACAACCTCAGTTTTGACAGACTAGCAGACCAGTGGATGAACTATTTAGACCACTTGGCCACCGAGACCCCCTCAATGATAGAAGAGTGTACATACCATTAGAAAATCTAAAATATGATTTTGGATGAGCATTTGGGTGCATTAATGAGAAATCTGGTGCATTTTCAAGGAACCATTACAAAAAATCCTTCTCTTAACCCTCTCCCTAATGATTAATTAAAAAAAATTATATGTCATAGACATCTATGCTTTCGTTTTATTATAAAAGCATTAATGGTCACCAAATAAATTTTTGTGTATAAAAAGTTTTAAATTTTGTGTATAGCTTGAAAAACAAGCAACAGGTAAAAAGTTGGTATGAAAATGTGACATCATTTATCAAAGTTTAATTATAAGTTACGGCATGCACAATCAATTTGGTGACCCTATTTAAATTTTATATAAAAAAACAAACAATTTCAGCTGCAATAACATATTATTTTTTAGGAACGAACATTCTATACATTTCTATTTATATCTAAAGTATATTTAAATTTTATGATGTATAAAAAATACATCTACTTTTTGTCTGGCTTGCATCGAAAGTCACAGTGGGAGATAATCTGACAAAGTAAACTATTTGTATAAAGCTTTATATATTAAGAGGAAGATTTGGATGCTTCATACCTTCTATATAGATGACTGATGTTACACAGTTTCAGTCTGTCATATGACCATTGTCCTTGACCTTATTTTCATGGTTTAACGGCTACTTGAAAAAACTGTATATCGTAGTTTTTTTGTCATGTGAATATCTCACTTATTATGAGTAATGGGATAATAATATTTGGTATATGGAATCCTTACAAGGTTGACAGGTTCACCTGACCACAGCCTCATTTGTTGCATCAGTGATCAAGGTTAAAAGTTACGTGATTAGGTCTATTTCTCAAATACTATAAGCATTAGGTTGACTTAAATTGGTGTATGGAATTATTGTAATGTATAAATGTCAGGTTTCATCCGACGGTGACCTCATTTTCATTGTTCATCGGTCAATGTTATATTTTTTGTGTTTTCATCTGTTTCTTAAATACTATAACCAATAGGTCAACTATATCAGATGAATGGAATGATTGTAAGATGTGTACACATAATAGAAAAACTAAGGATATGGGGTATCCATCCATGAGACAAAATCTGTACATGCACAGCAAAAAACACACAAAAAGCAAAGGAACAGTGCTTTTATTGCTGTTCTTCATCTTTAAGTCACAGTGAGGTCTTTAACACGTAGCAAAAAACTCTCACCTCACTGCAAGTTTTAGACTGCCTCTAGCACCAGTTTGAGCGGAATATTTTGCAAAATGAATCAGATAGACTTTGTAAGATGTAACACCGCCAAATCAGGCCAGGTAAAAAAAGAACTTACTGGAAAGTAGTACATATGTAGTAAATGGATTCCTATGCTACGGAATAACACTATCAAGGATCTAACGTTCTGATGTTTATTACCAGTAAATAAAACAAATTCACATGTGTAGTGAGTTTAACTGGTAAGGTTAACAGCACATCACAGTCATAGGTATTCTTACTATATCAATATGGATCGTCAGTCAGTTAATATGTTGTGTGCAAAGTAATAAGGTATACAGGTAACTATCTATATGGTCAATATCATGTCGTAGCTATCATCCCGTGGAAATCAACTAGGTCCAAAACAAAGGATACTAAACTTGACTGTGAAATCCTAGTAACCACTCGGATACAATGATTCAAGTAAAAAAAAACATGAATATTCATAGAAAAATAAGTGCATATTACTATACACACAAAAGTGCACACACTGAAATGTCTTGCCTGCAGTACTGACCAGTTATTTTATGTTCATAGTCCTAAATATAAAGTTTTACTACAAGTATCACATAAACTTCACATGATCCAAGAAAATGAGTTCAAGGTCAGATAAACCAAGCCAGAAATACATGTAGATCTTACAATCATTCCATACATCAAATATTGTTGACCTATTGCATATAGTATCTAAGAAATAAACTTAACAAGAAAAACTTAACATTGACCAATGAACCATGAAAATGAGGTCATGGTCAGATGACACCTGCCAGTTGGACATAGACACCTTACAATCATTCCATACACCAAATATAGTAGACCTATTGCTTATAGTATCTGAGATATGTTGCATGATATTTCCTCCCTTCCCTAGGGAAAGAAAACCATAGCTTCATTGTATAGTGTTGTGTTTATAGGTATAAAATTTCACTATTTTGTTTTCTTTTTAGCAATTAGCAAAAGTAAACAGTAAAACTTAGGACATCTCAAATTTTCTTCATTTTATTCATATTCATATAACAAAACATATAAGAAATGTACAATATACAAATGCAGTGTCTTTGTACAATAAAATAATCAAAATATCACAGACATCTTTTATATCAAAAACAATATTTATTGATGCTTTCTTCTGTCATTCCTTCATACAACAATACAGGAAAACTACTTCCACAAGACCATCAACATTGCATAATTTTAGTTCAATAAAATTTCTCATACAGAGTCAACAATTTTAAATGTAACAAATAAAATATTTTCTATGTATCCGATCCTGCAGACATAAGTTCCCGATTGTACATAGAAAATCCTAGCACTTCATTGGCAAACATTTCTCCCGTGATATGATGTGGGAGATTCTGATCAATAATGTCCCCGGCAGTGTTTACTTCAAACTCCTGTAACTCGCTACTTCCTCCCTCAGCGTTAAATCCTAGTAACGTGGTTAGATACTCCGCTAATTCATACTCTGTCATATGTTCTCCTGAAATGAATGGTAACAAACATTGTATTTTGTGCCTTTAAGTATTTATTCTCTCAGTTATTTTATATTTTTGGCTTTCCAAACCTTTGGTAACAAGTGTAACTGAAGAAAGTTATTCAAGAAGGGTGTGTTGTAAGCATGGGAAGCATTTTTGTTTTTCGACAGGAATGCATAAATATAATTACAATGTGCCAACCAAGACCCAATTTTTTTTATAGACATTTGATATATTTTTTGCAAAACTCGATTTTCAGACAGACATGGGCATGAGTGTATAATATCTGGGCCATATACCATCAGTAGGTATTATAGTACATCCCCACATAGTGTTTACATGCAGCCAAGGAAATTGCAAGACTTTTGTCTGATACAGAAGTAAAGTTCATACTCTGTCTTATACCCCACTATCATGAGTCACAAATCAAATAAATGAAATGTGGCATCTGTCATAGAAAATAAGTAAGAAAATGCCCAAGGGGTCGTTTTACTACATGGTACTGTTCTGCTTGCCAAATGTGCATGTTTTGTCCAAGGAAGCACTTGTAAAAATGACATAAAATTACAAATAAACTGCATCATTTAGCAAATTTCTGATTAATTGCCCATTCTTTCTGTGCAAGAATCTATAGAAGACTTTCCTGGTTAAGGATGGGTGATTTAATAGAAGAGTAGAGGTGAACGAGATTAAGGATGGGTGATTTAATAGAAGAGTTAGAGGTGAACGAGATTAAGGATGGGTGATTTAAGAGATGAGTAGAGGTTAAGGAGATTAAGGATGGGTGATTTAATAGAAGAGTAGAGGTGAACGAGATTAAGGATGGGTGATTTAAGAGATGAGTAGAGGTTAAGGAGATTAAGGATGGGTGATTTAAGAGATGAGTAGAGGTTAAGGAGATTAAGGATGGGTGATTTAATAGAAGAGTAGAGGTGAACGAGATTAAGGATGGGTGATTTAAGAGATGAGTAGAGGTTAAGGAGATTAAGGATGGGTGATTTAAGAGAAGAGTAGAGTACTAACCTTTAGTTTGTAACATATCCAGTAGGTCCCCTCTTTCTATGGCATTTCCTTGTGAAGTTTGGATACCTAAAGTCTCAAATGCTGTCAGAAGTTTTCCTGGGTCCAAACCAAATGCTGGTCGATGATTTATATACACTGTCGACAAAAATATCAAATAAATGTTAATGATGTAATGAAAAATATTTATATTAAACATTAATAAGATCAAATAGGAAGAAGAAAAATATGTACACAGAGAATAACTATAAAAAAATTTAACTGGTTCCTGTGTAGATCTATGTTACACAATATTCTTCTGTGGTGTTTGATAATACTACACATTGCCTATTGTTGAAGACTGAAGAGAACCAGTTGATGACAGACCTTTGAAAGTTTCTGTTGTATTCTTTCACTATTTGTCTAGGCTCTGAACTGATACTTTGTTCTACTGTATTGATGGATTACTGTCTCATTAAACATATCCCAATTCTCATTTTTCATTTTGGTATGGTAATGTCTCTTCTTTCTAAATCTTATGATTTTTTTTCTTATTTGTATTTGACATAAAACATCATATCATGGTTTTAAAACATTTTATTTAAAGTGATATGTGAAATAGTTGTCTTAAAAATATTCATCATTCACCCCTCATGTTTTTAAATAATACAGGTGCTTTCTAAGACAGCAGAGAGCCCAGGTAGCCACACAATTTTCGGTCGATATTCACCTTTTTAAATCATACATTTCATACAACTTACATCTGATAAAATCTCCCAAATCAATATCCTCTATATACTGGCCTGTCTCTACATATCTACTGAACTTCACTTCATTTAACATATCCTCAATCTGTTCACAAAGAAAACCATGTGTTATAAAGGTAT